CGCGGACGAAACTGCAGCACATGTGATGGTGGCGTGCCATTTTTCCCAGGAGGTCTGGAGGAGGAGTAAGCCATTGCTGGCCCGTTTCGCGCTGTCGAGGGTGACGGCACGGGACGTCATGTGGGGAGAGCTGCGGGGGGTGGGGAGGAAGGACAGGGACCAGGTGTGGGCTGTAATAGGAGCGACGAAGGAGGCGCTGTGGAAAGCGTGAAAGAATGAGCTGGAGGGGTCCCTGATGTCCCCGTTGGAGACAAGTTATGTTGCGAGGAGATTGTTGGAAAGGGTGGTGAAGGTGGACCGGGTGAAAATGGGGCGCGATGCCGCAAGGGAACAAAGGAAGTGGCCGCTACCCAGGGTGGGCTAGGGCGGTCAGGGGGGGGGGGAGGGGGGCGCCAGCGTCCGGGGGTGAAGGTGTGCGTGGCTGGAAGGGGAGGCTGCCCCTCCAGTGCTGTGGCAGGGTTGACTCCGGTCCAGAGGGTGGGTCGGTGGCCGAGCGGGGCCTTCATGGCGCGAGCGAGGGGGCGGGCCCTCGGTTTTTGCTTTGTTTTGTTTTTGCTGTCTCCACTGAGATACTGAATAAATTTTTAAAAACCGTAATTACCAGCGAAACCCGTTCCTGTTCTTCCTGAAGTGCCGCTGCGGCACACGTCGGCATCCCGTGGACTCTCCAGCCACCCCGGGTTTTGCGAGGGCCCCAGGCCGGGCGGTCTGGGGTGGCCTTGCTGCCGGAGGGTGGGGGGGCCACACGCGCTGCGGGGAAGGTGATCTCACCGCAACGAGTGCATTGAGACGGCAGGGAAGGAGACGGAGACGCGGCGTACGCCACGGACCATGGTGGGTGCCCGCAGGGCCGAGAGTGACAGGAGAGACGGCGCGGGCCCGTCTGGAGCGGGGGAGATGATGGGGGAGGTGCAGCGAGGAAAGGGTGTGGAGATGGTGGATGGGCCGGAGGGGACGGGGAGGGAGGAGCGAAGAGGATGAGGGGAAGCGCCGGGAGGATAGGGATGGAGTGCCCCCGAGCAGAGCACAGGGGAAGAAGCAGGAGGGGTGCCAGCAAGCCAGGGGCCGCGGGAGGGACAGTGGAGGGAGAGGACAGTGAACGCTGGCCCGGTGGGAGGGGGGAGACCCAGCGAAGGAGCGGGGAGGTGGCGCAGTGGAGCCGAGGCGGGCTTGACGCCAATGCACGCCAGGAGGCACAACTGCGTCAGGGTGGAATTCAAGGATGACGTGGAGGAGGAGGTGACGCTGGATAGAACGACCTTTGTGAGGTCGGTGATGCTTGGGATGCTGCGGGTGGAGGTGGCGGATCTTTACTGCCTGATTGCTCTGTCGGAGGGGAGAGCTTTTTACGTGAGCTTTAATTCAAATCTCCTGCTGCAGAATTTCCTCACCCGCTTCGAGGAGAGGGCAGGGGAGAAGCCCCTGACATCCATGAGGACGCGGCTGCTGTCAGACCTGGAAACGAAGGTTGTCGTCTTCCTGTACAACGAGGCACTACATGACCAGGATGTGGAGGTGTGGTTAAGGCAGCACTGCATGCTGTTATCTGGCTGCAAGAGGGTGCAGGACTCGGCGGGGATATGGACATGGGCCAGGCAGTGGAGGGTGCGCCTGAAGACGGAGGGGGGGGGGCTCTGAAGCATATCCCGAGCGCCTTGAACATCGGGGGGAACAAGGGGTACGTCGTATACGCGAGCCAGCCCAAACTGTGTAGGAGGTGTGGGGGAAGGGGGCATCTGGCGGCGGCATGCGAGGCACGGATCTGCTACAGGTTCAAGGCGCCGGATCACACGGTGGAGGAGTGCGGGGAGCTGGTCCGATGCAACCTCTGCGGTAGCAGAAGGCATTTGTATAGAATCATATGCCAACAGGGTGCGGGCATACCGGAATGGACAAGCAGTGGAGGTAGTGGAGGAGGCGGCCGGACGGGAATCGGGCCGGGAGCTTGGTGGGGAGGAGGAAGGAGAGGCGGCGGAACCATGACCCCCCGGGGGGGGGGTGAGGGAGGGGGACCTGTGGGGAGGGAAGCAACACCACCACTGGACTGGGAGCGGGGGAGGAGGAGAGGAAAGACGGGGGAGAAGACCCAGGAACCCCAGTGGGAGACTGGGCGGAGGCAATGGGCGAGGAGGAAGGCGAGGGGGAGCAAGGGGTGGAGGAAGGAGCTGTCGGGGCATGGGAAGAAACGGTTGGGAGGAAGAGGAAATTGGACAGAGTCCTAAAAGGGGCTGGCTCCCTACATGACACGGGCCCTTCAGGCTCCTCGCTGGACACAGAGGAGTCTGGGTGGAGGAGGGCGGAAGGGGGGGGGGGACGGTTGAACCGGGAGAAGCCCCAGAGGTTGAAGGGGAGGAAGAAAGTGAGAGAGAAGGCGGTCAAGGGCGGATGGGGGGAGCGTGCAGCGGAATCGGAAATGGAATAAAATACACTTCGGCATGGACCTCTCCGTGGCGTCTATAAACGTGAGAGGGATGAAGGGGAAGGGAAGGAGAGGGGCAATCATGCACCTGTTAGAGACCACCAGAAGAGACGTGACCTTCCTTCAAGAGTGCCACCTACCGTTCACCCTGGGTTCGGAAGTCCTGCTGGAAGATTGGAACGGCCACTACGTATGGTCGGGTAGCAATGGGAACCGGTGTACTGGGGTGGTTACCCTCCTAGGCAGGAGGGAAATGAGGGTGGAAGGGACCCAGGAAGTGATACCGGGCCGGCTCCTTTGTGTGGATGTATCCTACCAAGGCGTGGAGTTGCGGCTGGTGAACGTGTATGCCCCGGTACGATGCATCGAAAGGGTAGAGGTGTGGGAGAGCTTGGCGACCCTATTGGCCACCAGGCGACAAGTAATTTTAGGGGGTGATTCAACTGCCCGCTATATTGGGCGGACCTGGTGTCGACAAAGGGGAGGAGGAAATTGGACTCTTCCTCCAGAAAGCTGAAAGAGCTGATGGAGGACTTTGGTATGGTAGACGCATTCAGGAGGGTGCATGGTGCACGGCTCGGGTATACGTGGTCAGATGAGAGCGGGGGAACGCAGTCGCGGATAGACTTTATTTTCGCCTCTGCCAAAGTAGAAGTGGGAAGTGCGGGGGTGGAGCCATTTCCCCTCTCGGACCACAAAATGGTCGTGGCAGGGCTCGCGATCCTAGGTGGGGCGAGGAGAGGGAAAGGAGTATGGAAAATGAATGTGGGTCTGTTGGAGGACCAGAAAGTGGTGGGGGACTTCGTACAAAAATACAAAAGCTGGAGGACCCTACAGGACTGGTTCCCCACGAGGGTGGAATGGTGGGGCCAGATAAAGGACAGGATAAAAACGCTCTTCCAGCATCATAGTAGGAGGAGGGGAGTGGGTATGGAATTGAGGCAGTGGAATGCCAGGCTGGAGAAAATGTACAGGCTGCTAGAGCTAGGGCTAGGGCTTCAGTATTGGAAAGAAGGGCAACGGAGGAAGGGGAGAGGTGCACGAGGTTTTTCTTCAAAACAGGTAGGGAGGGAGATAACGCAATGAGGGAATTGATAAGGGTAAGTGGGCAGGGAGGCGGCTCACGATGGCTGGCAGGATTATGGTGGTGAAGATGGAGATACTGCCAACTTTAAGCTACCTGGCGCAGGTATTCCCACCTGGTAAAAGGGAGGTCAAGGTTTTGACCTCGGCGCTTTTCGGGTTTATCTGGGGGGGAGGGATGGAGAGGGTGAGGAGGGCCGTGCTGTGTATGCGGGTTGGGAACGGGGGGAGGGGCGCCCCAAATGTGGAGTACACCCTGAACTCGACCTTTGCATGTAACGCGCTGAGACTGTTCTTCTCCGCAGAGCCGCGGGGCAAGGCGGCGTGTTACATACGGTATCGCCTGACGTGTGGCCTGCGGGGCCTCGGGATGACCCAGGCAGAGAGGAGTATACCTTTGGACTGGCCGGGGGGCTGGATCAGCAACGTGGTGGGGGACTACATTGGGCAGCACGGCCTGAACCGGTGGGGGGGCCGGTGGACCCCCAGAGAGGTGCGGGCCGAGGCGGAGAAAGAGGAGGCCTGTGATGAGGTGCCAGGTGCGAGGAGGGAGGTGCACCGACAAATTTGGAGAAACATGTCGTCGGCGGCACTCACGAAGGAACAGAGGGACTTGTCATGGCTGGCAGTCCGGGACAAGCTGGAAACGAGGGGTTTTATGTACGGCCGCCAAATGGCACACACCCCCAAGTGCCCGAGGGGCTGCAACGGGGACGAAAGTGCAGTGCACGTGATGGTGGCATGCCCCTTTGCCCAGGAGGTGTGGAGGCGGAGCAAGCATTTGTTGGCCCGGTTCGCACTGTCGAGGGGGACAACATGGGACATTATGTGGGGGGAACTGCGGGGTGTGGGAAGGGAAGACAGGGACCGGGCGTGGGCTATAATAGAAGCAACGAAGGAGGCCTTGTGGAAAGCGCGCAAGAAGGAGCTGGAGGGGTCCCAGATGTCCCCATTGGAGGCATGCTATGTGGCAAGGAGGTTGTTGGAGAGGGTGGTGGAGGTGGACTGGGTGAGACTTGGACACGAAGTGGCAAGGGAAAGATGGAAGTGGCCGCTACCCAGGGTGGGTTAGGGCGGCCGGGGGGGGGGGGGGGAGGAGGCAGCCCCTCCAGCCACAGATGTGGCGAGTGCTGTGTCGGGGGCGACTCCGGTCCTGAGGATGGGTTGGTGGCCGAGCGGGGCCTTCGCGGTGAGAGGGAGGGGGCGGCCCCTCGGTTTTTTCTTTGTTTTGTTTCTCCGCTGAGACACTGAATACATTTTAAAAATCGTAATTACCAGCGAAACGTCGTACTCAAACTGTAAATGTTGTGGATTCACTCTTCAACATACCAGTGGGCTAAAGTAGTGAACTATTTGTCTTTGTCAACGTGACACTTTGTTTACTGTTTGGCCGTGTCGTGTGGTGGAGGGTTACGACACATTTATAAATAACGCGATCTAACACAACAACCTTTATTATGAATAATGGTCGCGAAAGCCTACGTGTTAAATTTCTCACCTGTGTTTGATGTGACCCCACAAGGCTGTGAAGGATGAGCCCGACTGTATCCATCCTTACACTGACACACAGTGTCACTAGTGACAGTACAGTCCTGTTGAACATCTTCATCTACACATCAGAGAACAAAAGGAAACTTAGTTTAATTTCAGTACTGTACTGTTTGTTTAATGTACAAAATGTTGGTCTTGGCAATATGTCCCAAGTAGCTATAACTTTAGCATAGTGTACATTACAATTTGGTAATACGATGGAACTTGTATAATATTTGATGGCTGTGGAGAACAGGGTAATTGATAAACGAATCATAACGGGAAAAAAAACCGCCACTTTTTTCAAATTTTCTTGTTGTGGTTTTCACACCTGATGATTGCTTGTGTTGCAGTCGAAACGTCGTGAGAATTTTATTGTTTTATATTTTATTATTTTATTGTTTCCCTTCTACGTGACTTTACCGAAAGAACCAAGAATATGAATCCCTGCAGCCACGAAAGCTTTAAATAAAAATTTAAACGAATCTTTGTTGTAACTTGCTGATCCGCTCCTCCTAGATATCTGTCAAAAGGAACCTCACAGCTAATCGGATTCCTTCAGTGAAAATGAAGATTATGATTAGAAGGTATGGATTAGAGGAGTCACTCGCTGATCATTATAATCGAACAGCGGGTCACATTTACCTGTGGCATGGCATTCGAGAATGCATGCCGCAACGCAGCTCAACTCAAACAATTATTGGAATTATAACCGAGGCGACATGAGGTCAGTTTATCTAGTCTCGTCTCACCTGTGGAGGTTCATCAGAGATGAGATGAGGGGCTCATGCGATGGCAGTTTAAGAAGTCATAGATGTTGCCTCTCCTCTTTAATGCTGTGTAGTATTCAATTTGTATCACCTGGCGTTGTGTGTATGAGAAGACTAGAAACACAATTTATTCGGGCGACATTGCCCTGTAATCTGCCAGCATTGGAGATAGTGGCTTAGTGGATGTTGCCATGGACCTTATTGACTGTAATTGTGGACATTATAGGTGAGTTGTAAATAACCAGGATATATTAATCTCAACTCTTAAACAGGAATTGCTAGATCTTCCAATGATGTCACCTCTGCATATTATTTCACTCTCCCCAGGTTCCTGTGCATTGATTCATCCTCTTTTTTACGGTTTCATTTCAGATTTTAGTATTCTAATAGTATATAGTTTTGTTCTTAGACCATCTTATATTCCCGACTTATTATACATTTCCTCTTTTGTCTATAGTGCCTTTTCAACTTCTGCAACTTCTTGAGCCAATTTATGTGAAACCCGACCCGCCATCTTGTCCTCACCCTCCTGACTGCGGTCTGCTGGACTGCAGTGTGATCGGGGAGTACCGGTTCAAACTGTTTGTGCCATCTTCTTCTTCTTCTGAGCAGCTCAATATTGTGATGGTCATATTCTTTAAGTTACCATACATAGCAGGCGTTACCAAAAAGATTGCTAAAATCTTAAACGAACAGAAGATCCAGGTCCGATTCAGTACAGTACACAAAATCCGTAATCTAATCTCATCTGTAAAGGATGCCATTCCTGACTTGCAATACCCTGGTGTCTACAAACTAAGTTGCATCTGTGGTGACTTACATTGGGAAAACGAAACGTCATGTCTCTGACCGTATCCGCGAGCACAAGTCAGATCTGAAACATGGCAGAATTAATTCCTCCGCCGTTGCTGATCATTGCTATAACGCTGTGGGCTCTCATGATATTGTTTTTTTCCGAGACCAGGGTACTCTGCAAACCGTATGCCGTATGGCTACTATCGAAGGTTTGCTCATGAAGCCATCCAGATGTACAAACATAGGCATGACTTCAACCAAGAAGATGGATACAAATTGCGCAATCATTTGAAAGATGTTATTAACCAGGTAAAAATGTAACTGTTCATAGTTGTCCCATCTTATTTATCAGGCACTAGTCTATTTTATCGAGTTAATTGCATCCCCAGCGTTTAGCAGTGCTGCTATTTTGCTTTGGGTGCCCTCATCGGTTTTGGCTGCAGTCCTTGCCGCTGCTTCGCTTTCTCTTCCCCCCCACGCATCTCCAGCTCCCTCAGCCTCTCGCTTCCAGCCACGCCAACTTCCCCCCCCCACCGCCCAGTCTCACGTTCCCAGTCCCTAACGTCCACGCAACGCCCCCCCTCTCCCCTTATCCCCCCCTCCCTTCCCCCCCCTCTCTGACTTATACAGTGAGGGAAAAAAGTATTTGATCCCCTGCTGATTTTGTACGTTTGCCCACTGACAAAGAAATTATCAGTCTATAATTTTAATGGTAGGTTTATTTTAACAGTGAGAGACAGAAAAACGACAACAAAAATCCAGAAAAACGCATGTCAAAAATGTGATGAATTGATTTGCATTTTAATGAGGGAAATAAGTATTTGACCCCTCTACAAAACATGACTTAGTACTTGGTGGCAAAACCCTTGTTGGCAATCACAGAGGTCAGACGTTTCTTGTAGTTGGCCACCAGGTTTGCACACATCTCAGGAGGGATTTTGTCCCACTCCTCTTTGCAGATCTTCTACAAGTCATTAAGGTTTCGAGGCTGACGTTTGGTAACTCGAACCTTCAGCTCCCTCCACAGATTTTCCATGGGATTAAGGTCTGGAAACTGGCTAGGCCACTCCAGGACTTTAATGTGCTTCTTCTTGAGCCACTCCTTTGTTGCCTTGGCCGTGTGTTTTGGGTCATTGTCATGCTGGAATAGCCATCCACGACCCATTTTCAATGCCCTGGCTGAGGGAAGGAGGTTCCCACCCAACATTTGATGGTACATGGCCCTTTGATGCGGTGAAGTTGTCCTGTCCCCTTAGCAGAAAAACACCGCCAAAGCATGTTTCCACCTCCATGTTTGACGGTGGGGATGGTGTTCTTGGGGTCATATGCAGCATTCCTCCTCCTCCAAACACGGCGAGTTGAGTTGATGCCAAAGAGCTTCATTTTGGTCTCATTTGACCACAACAAGTTCACCCAGTTGTCCTCTGAATCATTCAGATGTTCATTGGCAAACTTCAGACGGGCATGTATATGTGCTTTCTTGAGCAGGGGGACCTTGCGGGCGCTGCAGGATTTCAGTCCGTCATGGCATAGTGTGTTACCAATTGTTTTCTTGGTGACTATGGTCCCAGCTGCCTTGAAATCATTGACAAGACCCTCCCGTGTAGTTCTGGGCTGATTCCTCACCGTTCTCGTGATCATTGCAACTCCACGAGGTGAGATCTTGCATGGAGCCCCAGGCCGAGGGAGATTGACAGTTCTTTTGTGTTTCTTCCATTTGCGAATAATCGCACAAACTGTTGTCACCTTCTCACCAAGCAGCTTGGCAATGGTCTTGTAGCCCATTCCAGCCTTGTGTAGGTCTACAATCTTTTCCCTGACATCCTTGGAGAGCTCTTTGGTCTTGGCCATGGTGGAGAGTTTGGAATCTGATTGACTGATTGCTTCTGTGGACAGGTGTCTTTTATACAGGTAACGAGCTGAGATTAGGAGCATACTCTTAAAGGGAGTGCTCCTAATCTCAGCTTGATACTTGTATAAAAGACACCTGGGAACCAGAAATCTTTCTGATTGAGAGGGGGCAAATAATTTTTTCCCTCATTAAAATGTAAATCAATTTATAACATTTTTACATGCGTTTTTCTGGATTTTTTGTTATTATTCTGTCTCTCACTGTTCAAATAAACCTACCATTAAAATTATAGACTGATTATTTCTTTGTCAGTGGGCAAACGTACAAAATCAGCAGGGGATCAAATACTTTTTTCCCTCACTGTATAACCCCCTTAACCCCGGCATCTCTCCCACTTCAGTTAAAACAAATTCTTGCTGTGGTTTTCACACCTGATGATGATTGCTTGTGTTGCAATCGAAATGTCGCGATTGAATTAACTTTTTTTTACCAACGTGACTTTACCGAAAGAACCAAAGAGTATGGATCTTTGCAGTCACGAAAACTTCAAATCTAGAATTCTTTAAGTTATTTAAGATGGAGGCCCTTTCTCATGAATGAAGAAAGACGATCGTCATATGTAGCAACAAGATGGATAGCAGCCTGCTCAAGTTAAGATCAAGGAAGATCAGCTCGAGGATTGGGGCCCACTGTCTGCCCTTGCCGTCAAGCACCGACCACAGCCTCTTGTGGAGTAAAGCGCGTCCCACTTGGAGTGTTGTGACCCCATTAAAAAACCTGAAAATTATTTTTCTCAGCCCACCTTTCTCATCATGGATTGACCCTCGTCATGTATGGTACATCCACAGATAGAATGTAAAGTGCAGCCTATGCAGAAACATGCTTTGAAACAACCTCGGATTGCATAGACCTTTGTCTTCTTTTTAAAATATATCATACACCACGACCTACTTTCTAACCAATTGCAAGGTGATATAACGAACTTTCTCATCCATTTGGTTACTTAACCTGTTTGTTTAATTTCACTTAGAGTGATTTATTAACCTTTGTTCCATGCATCTCCACACTCAAATAACACCTATATACACACCCAAAACCTACTGATGTGGAACTCTTACAGAGAAGATTGCAGGTGCTGCACTTTTTGCATTGAGGATCACGGTGTGCATCGTCCATGTAGTCCTTCCCTGGCATGCAAGGTGTGCATAAAGATTGGTCGCCATTGTAAAAGCAGTCATAAAGCCACTTGCTTCCTGTAAAATGGACAAGTTCAATTAATCATGTTGTCAGGAAATTACTTTTGTTTGATTAAATATTACATTTCAATACTTTTACTTCAAACGCGTTATTCAATGTGGATGCATTTTTAATTGATGACGTTATTTATACAAAGCATAATATTAATTCCAAAACATTCATTTCTGATGCCTTTTCATGTTACTCTCTGGCCTGCTGTAATACATATCACAAGATCATTAGTTTGAGCAATGAAAAAAGACATTTCGGAATGTTTTAGCTTTTTACAAGGTAAGGCCCACTGAGCTATATAGCTCTTTTTCAGAAGCGACCTGGCCACAAATGATAGCTCATCAAATGAAAATGTTTCGCAGCCAATTACTCGAAATGGTCATTGACACCCAGCTGAGTACTGAAACGCTGCTTAAATATAATATAGCCCATTGGTGATCAACTTAACCTTCCCAGGTATATTATAGAAATGCTCTGCTGCAAGTGTAGTGACATATAATGTGTCACGATGGCACCAGGAGCCTGTTACTGATAGAGAGGAGAACTGGGAGTGAGTAGCCCTCTCTGACAGCAGGGTGTGCTATGTAATGGAAAAGGGTCCCCAAAGGGCATGGTTCTGGTGGCTGGCAGAGAGAGGGCATCTCTGGACGTAGCAGCCCGATTGGCTGACAAGGGCACGTGACAGGACAGGGTAAGGATGTGGGCCAAAGGTGACAGAAGGGACATGTGGTGTATGGCCCAGAATCTTATGGTGAGTTCCAGAAGGGGGCGTGGCTGAGGGCGGAGTCAGGCCACGCTGGGGGGCATAAAAGGGAGGTCCCGGGGTCCCATCGGGGCTGTCTGCTGGAATGGAACCCGCCGTGCTAGGTCGTCTCCTTGGTCTCCGGTCATCGTGCTCGGCATCGTGAATTAGGCAGTGTGTTGACTGACCTGACCCGTTCATGTAGTTACCCCGTGGTTACCGGTTATATAGGTATCCCGTTGTGGTTACGTTTATGTAGTTACCCCATTGTGGTCATAGAATAAACGTGTTGCCTCCTTAGTTAAGTGTGTCTCTCAGTGAACCCACTACATCTGGCATCATAAGTGCTCAAAATGATTAGTCGAAACTTCTAGTGTAGTGCGATGCTTACAAGAAAGAAGCTTCTCACCATGGTGTCTTCAGACGAAGAAGACAGCGGGGATGTGATTTCCCAGACAACCCCGGGTGTTGCGACCACGGAGGATTTTCACGAGGCGGGTCTCCCGGCAGAGCAACAGGAGGAAGCCGACGTTTCCGCGCTACCGTCGTCGGGAAAAGGGTGCTGAATGTGCAGTGCCTACCTCGCTGACTTGTTGTCTTCAGCAGCGCTGGTGGCTGAACTCGACATGGAGGAGCCAGAGGAAGATGCCGGAGTGCCGAGCCGCGAGTGGATAGCTCAACCGCTATTGGTTTGTGTGATCTGAGCCTCAAGAAGCGGCTCCCCTTTGTAAGATAATTCACAGCCGCAGGGGGTGACTGGGAAGCGTTCCAGCGGCGATTCACCGCCACCTGCGACCTGGCCAGATGGATCTGCGTTGGAGGCGCTGCGGGCGCTCCTGACCACCTTGGATTACGGTACCTTGGCGGCATTCTACGCCATCCCACCTGAGGACTGAGTGACGCTGCCGCAAGTTTTCACCCAGATGGTGGTCATTTTCGACCCGCCATCAAATGTGCGACAAAAAGACGGGGGGAGACCGAGACGCCCCTCGCCTTCCGCAGTGTGCTGATGTCACTGGCGCAAGCCGCCTACCCCAAAATGGAGCAAGCTGGGTTAGGCTCGTTGGTGTTGGAACGAATATTGATGCTGGCCCAAGAATTGAATGTTTTCCTGCCCGCAACAGAAGAGACAACTTGTCTTCACTCAAGGTTGCGCAATGCATCCAAGCACATTTTAACTTCCGGTGTCGAGCGGGGGTGGCCGCTCGTGTGGGACTTTCAGAGATGGCGGAAACCCCAGAAGGCGTGGAGCCCCCCCAAGTCTGCGCATCGGTCGACGTTGATTCACAGGGGAAAGGCGATGCAGATCGGCGAGGGGGGCGAGACCAACGGAATGGGATTTTCTTCGCCCAAGGAGTGCCCACGTCATCTGTTTTAAGTGCGGCCTGCCGGGTCACATCTTGAGGGGAAGTCGTACTAAATGAAGGACATTTTTCATGATGGCGTCATCACCCTGCCGACCTCCGCTCCTCTGAGTCCACAGGCCGTTACAGTCACCTCATGCATCTTGTTCGCATGCCGGGTCGGATTCGTGTCTTGTTACTCCTCGCCGTGTTATGGAGCATGAGAATTGTGTTTTGGTGGGTGGTCGATGGTCGCGGCTTCCGGGTCAGTGGTCGGCGTTGGGATATTGTATCGTGGCTGCGGCGGCGGGATCTTCGGCAGTCGTTGAGACCATGCAGGGTGTTGAGGTGTGGATGATCATTGACATGGGAGCATCCGCTACCATCATTTCAAAAGTGATTTATAATACATTGCTGCCAAATTTGTGTGATCTGAGCCCCGTGGGAATCCCGTGTTTTGCCACTAATGGCGGGTCCTTGGGTATCATTGGTCAGATATCGGCGACAGTCTGTATTGGAGAGATCCAGATGACAGGTCCGGTGCTAGTTTCTTAGTCATTTGCTGTATCCTGTCTGTTGTAAATCGATTTTCTTAGGAGGATGCCCCTTAAGATCTTGGTGGATTAAGGGTGAATTGAGCTGCTGTCGGGCCGTCGATTGGCGTTTTTGTCCTCCCCGACTCGATTATGTACAGTAAACATGACAGTTCAAGCTCTAGTGAGAGAGACTGTTAGAATTTCCCATGGTGCTCAGATGCTTGTGTCTTTGTAGCTGCGGAAGCAGCTCGACCAGGAAGTCACCGGAGGAGGGCTTTAAGTGGGTACGTCCGCTAAATTGTATAGACCATTGCAGGGTCCGGTTGAAGTGATTGAGATCAAAAGGCCACAGTATGTACAGATCCAGTTTAGTCGCAGGCGTTGGTACGCACATCCGTCGCAGCTCAAACCGTGTTTCCCGCCTTGCGGGATCCCTTCATCTCCACTACCCAAGGGCCCAGTGTCTGATGTGTCCGACGAGCTGGGGCGTGCGTCCGCGGAGGTTGTGCCTCAGCGGATTTCTGTTCTTCCGCCCACAGGATCCCGGCACTTTACACCCTTCGAGTCACTAGTTGCACCGATCGGATGCCAATGAAAGAGAGTGGAGCGGCCGGCACACAATCCTTTTCCTCCTGGTTTTTTATCCTCCCAGGAGGGGCCGCACCCGTTAGGCCATCTTCAAGTTGTCCCTGGGACCCCCAAGGAATCCGCTCCAACCCCGCCTGGGGGTCTGGCGACGAGGACCCTTTCGAAGTCCGTCTATATTAAATGACCCTCCTCGAGCGTCCTATTTAACCCAATGCTGTCCGTCAGTGGTCGCATGCACGTGCCGGATTGTGTTACCGGTTGGACTGGGTGCTTCATGTGCTCATGGGTTGTGACACGCGTATGGGTGTTGGGTGGTGTGCATTGTCTGGGGGTTGGGTTGGTTATTGAATGTTCACGGAAATTTTTGTTTTGTTTTTGGAAATCTTGTTCTGTAAGTGTGCATATTTTGCTTGTTGACGGTTGTTATTGGTTTTATTGTTCCATTCAAAATTGTGGTTGGAAGTAGTTCGTTTTATTAACTGAGGTATCATGGTCAGCCGGGGCGGCTGAGTTTTATGGGGGGGGGGGGGGGGGGGGGGGGGGGGTGATGTATTGACATATAACGGGTCACTACGGCGCCTGGCGCCACTTACTGATTGAGAGGAGAACTGGGAGCGTAGTAGCCCTCTCTACCAGCAGGGTGTGCTATGTCATGGAAAAGGGTCCCAAAGGGGCATTTTTCTGGTGGCTGGCAGAGAGAGGGCATCTGAGGACATAGCAGCCCGATTGCCTGGCAAGGCCACGTAACAGGACAGGGTAAGGATGTGGGCCAAAGGTGACAGAAGGGACACGTGGTGTATGGCCCAGAATCTTCTGGTGCGTTCCAGAAGGGGGCGTGGCTGAGGGCAGAGCCAGGCCATGCTGGGGGGCATAAAAGGGAGGTCCTGGGGTCCCATCAGGGCTGTCTGCTGGAACGGAACCAGCCGTACTACATCTTCTCCACGGTCTCCGGTCTTCGTGCTCAGCATCGTGGGTCAGGCAGTGTGCCGACTGACCTGAACCGTTTATGTAGTGACCCCGTGGTGGTTACCGGTATTATAGTTATCCCGTTGTGGTTACGTTTATATAGTTACTCCGTTGTGGTCATAGAATAAACGTGTTGCCTCCTGAGTTGTGTGTCTCTCAGTGAACCCACTACACAAGCATTGCCTTAATTTTAGTACTTGTAGAAACAATCATCAATCGCTTATATTGTCTACATGAAAACCACACATTATACAAACTAATGGTTGACCATTTAGAGCAGTAAATGCATTGCCCGTCACAATATGTTGCTGCTTTGATCGGTTACCTGGAGGACAGAGGTGGCAGCAAAGCCCGTTCGCCGCTCTGTATTGTCCTTTATCTTCACATTCATTAAGCTCAACCTTAACATGAAATTAAAGTAGAACAAGAGTCAGGGCACAGCTACGTGTATGCAACAATTCAATACATTTTTGTCTTGCCTCTTAAGCCTCGTTTCTACTGTCTAAATGTACTGTCTGCTTCGCACTGTGTATCGTTTGTACTGTCTGTTTTATGTATAGTGCCTTGCTTGTACTGTCGTGTCTGTTCTGTATGCCTACATTTTCCAGTCTCATTACGTTATATTACCCTGAAGGAAAAACGAATCGAAGAATGTATTACTTCAATAATAAAAATATTCAACTTGAAAAATAAATGTTTAACGTAAGAATTAAAAAAATGACTTATTGTTAATACTTGCTCTTGACCATCAAACCCACAATTATTTGGGATCTGTCCAGTTAACGTTGATATCGAGAATAAGAGCATTTTTTCAATGTCGGAATGACATAATCCCCCTCTCCTGATGCCGAGGGCAGATTGGTGAGGTTCGGGACTCTTGACACGTGCAGGTGCTACGACTGTGCTGGATAGCCAGTCCAGATCGACCTATATCAGTGTTCTTCATAGCAAGGCCCGCGGGCCACTAGCGGCCCCTGGTGGCCTTTAGTGGGGCTCCTGACGTGCGGCCTCCGACAATACACAACACGTGACAACACTCCCCCATCATAGTGCTGTCAAACCCAGTGGTTTAAAATGTGTGGCGGCCCTCACACTGATGATGTCTTATCGGCGAAAGTGGCCCTTCTCTAAAAATGAGTGAAGAACACTGCCAAAGAAATTGGCTGATGGAGGAGGAGTTCAAGTTAGGTAAGAAATTGGCAGGCTCATTCTCACAGTATTCTACACCTGAGAATAAGGAGGGGCTTACCAAAACCTTTACTCAGTAGTTGGCTCTATTAGGTACAAACAGGATGAATGATTGATGATCGGTTGTTGGGGACCAACTGTTTACTGATCTCAACTATGTTAATGATGCAGTTCCTTTTAACAGAGCACCTAGCATCACGGCCCATGGCACCGACAGGATTTGACCAAGCAAATATTACTATGGGCCTTCAAACTTCCTAGACAAAAGCTAATCTTCAGATCATGGGTTTAACACGTAGGCTTTCGCGACCAATACCATCCATAAGAGGTTTTTTTTGGTTAGATCGTTGTCGCTGTCGCCTGATGAAGCTAGACGTAATTAATGGTGAAACGTCGTTCTCAGATTGTAAATGTTGTGGCTTGGGTCTCCAACACACCGATGTGCTGTACTAGTGACGAATTCGCATGTTCTGTTTACGTGCCAACCCTTACTAGTTGGCTGTGTCGGGTGGTGGCGGGTTTAACGACAAATTTACGCGATCTAACCCAAAAAACCTCTATTATTCAGATCATGGGTTGTGGCTCTGCAGCAAAAAGTGAATGCTGCAGATGTGACCATAGGCTAACTAATGTTGATGAGGGTGATGACATCGATCATGTTAATATTGATGTTCATGTTAATTTGATGATGTTGCTACCAATTATATATCACTGTACCATGCATTATGCAACGTGTTCATGTTTTATACAGATCTAATTAAGTGTAACACAAAAATTTTTATTTTTAAGGTAAGTAAATACAGTATTACCTCTGTTAACGACTCCTCTTGGAACGAAGATCTTTTATAACCAAGTCGGCTAGAGAGGGAAGCTTCACCGCCCTATTTTTGCAAAAGATTAATAAATATATTTTCTGAACTCATAAGAAGCGATTCCAAAGCATGAAATTTAAAACTTACCCTGTGAACCACAGTAAAGGTTTTATGGGTTTTATCGAGTAAATCTATAAATGTGTCGTTAACATACCATCACCCAACACAGCCAACTCGTAAGGGTTGTCACGTAAACAGACTCAAGAGCGTCGGAGCCTGGTCACCACATCTACGCCTCTATATAAGGAACGAGACAGTTGGACTTCTCCACAAATCTGGCTGTCGCCTGATGAAGCTAGTTGTAATTACTAGCGAAACGTCGTTCTAAGATTGTAAATGTTGAGGCTTGGCTCTCCAACACACCGGTGTGCTGTACTAGGGACGAATTGGCACGTTCTGTTTACGTGACAACTCTCACTAATTGGCTGTGTTGGGTGGTGGCAGATTTAACGACACATATTTACGTAATCTAACCCAAAACACCTCTACTATGGATGATATTGGTCACGAAATCCTACGTGTACCCTGTGAACTCATCCGAGTGGGATTTGATTACATTATCAATATCCAATCAGCAAAGAGCTTGGGGAGTCTCCCTCTCGGGCCCGCCATTGCTCGAGGTCATCGTGTTGATAAAATTGTATAGTTTTTTTTGCAGTGACAAAAATATTTGATTACCCCCACATTAATTCATCCAAATGACCATTTAGCGCAGGGGTCGGCAACCTGTGGCTTCGGGCCCGCATGCGGCTCTTTGGCTTCTCTCTTGCAACTCTTTGGCTGCCCCCTCGCCGGCAGCCGTTTATTAACAAAAAACGTAAATCTTAAACATAATTTAATGCAAAGATCATTAGCGATGTATTAAACACGACAGGGAATGCGTCACTATAGAATGTCTTGGTGGCGACAAAATGTACAGTATTAAAGAATAACTAAGGGGGATAAATACTAAATATACGTATTTTATTCCATCACATTTTGTTTGTCAGAATTTGTCACCTGCTATGTTTGTGTACAAGTAGCTCTGCGTGTGATGTGGCTCTCGAACTATTTTGGTCAAAGACAAAAACCAAAAGAATGGCTCTTCTTAATTGAAAAGCTCTTGACCCCTGGTCGAATGCAAGTGGCCCTACTTGGCAAAAAGTACAACGTAAATCCCTCTCTTTGGAAACGAAAATGCAGATCATAAGGAGGGTAGAGGCCGGAGAGATGACATTGAAGTGGTGAGTTCGTTAGGGCTAGCGCAGTCCACCTTAAAGATCATTTAAAACCAAGCAGACAAAGTAAAGACGACTGTGAGGCCATGTTATCCTTTTCTACCGCCTTCTCTCTGAAGTCTTGAAACGCATCCCAATGCATCATTTGTTATATCTACCCCTGATAACAAAGTTTCTGATAACGAAGTGACGTCATGGAACGCATTTTCTTCATTTACCGAGGTATTACTCAATATTAATCATTATATGACGTTTTCTAAGCCGCACCAGTTTCAACAAAGGGTTTCAGAGCGCTACGGAAAAATATATCTCTAGTTTATTTACCGCATCATAGTAAATAAGTAGTATTTACTACTCGGCCGTCAGGTATAGTCGGGTTTCAGGCAGAGCGTTCTAAATCTGAGGGCCAAGGACCAAAAAAAGCCAAAACTCCTCAAGTTTTTTTGCCGAAAGCGTGGCTGTGTGAGGAGGTCAAACTCAAATATTGAGGCAGTTCTTGAAAGAGTGCTTTGTGAATTTAGCACAATAATATTATTGGACTTTCCCACAATTTTTATCCCAAAACACATAAGTGATACATGATGTCCAGTCATGCTTGACAGATTTCCCGTCTTGAAACTCGTGAACAAATTAATGCTTCCCTTGTCAATGGCTTTGCTGCTGCTTCTAGTAAGGTTGAGACAGCCTGCTATGTAGCAGTGACATACAGAAGCAATGTGATATCCTAATGTTCGTGATATTATGGTTTTGTTGGGTTTGAAAAGCTAGTCTTACGTTTTTTTTGTATATACCAGTCATGTAGATTTTTATTTAACAATATTTCGCGTTCAACAGTTCGTGGTACCTGCCTCATAGGTACTGGACATCTGCGAAAAAGAGCTTCATAGCTCATCGGATTCATCCAGTATAAATACATATTCAGATTCTGTGTTATCCCAAATTTAACGTTTTACCCTGCATTGTGATGGTCGTGGAGCCTCAAAGTTTAGGACGACATATTAAGAGTATTCATATGTACAGTGAAAGAAAGGTGTAATGCAATTATACACAATAGTGAAGATATAAATACTTCGTTTTTAAATAATAAAAAAATCTCAAACATTAACGCCAAGAAACAGGTTAGCCGAAACTGAAGGAGCATCCAACGAGAATGAAAGACCAAAATAAGTTGCAACTTCCCATTGTCTGAGCGCCACAGAGAAGCAACAGAGAAAAATCGCGGGTAGTTGAGAGAGAAAAGACCATTTGGGCAGCAGAAGGGATGTAGCGACACTTGCCATCGGCTCGATGTCATTGGTGATCGGAGGCTTGGGGAGATCATGGGAGGCAATGTTTGATAACGAAAGAGATTAGGAGCAGCCGATGAGTAGAAAGCGTGTTCTCGTAGTGGGTATGAACTGTATTACACACTCACCATTGAGATGAATGTAAGAAAGATGATGCCAGAGATCAGCGCCATTGCTGTCACTTGGTTTGGCTGCATCGTTACAAACTTGGTGTCAAAATGGTGGAGCACGAAGCTAACGATGAATATCGCTGTTATGTAGCTTTGCTTTAGAGATACTTCACTGTAAAATCATGCAAATACGCCTTGTGGCCCATCAATATTTCTACAGAAGATACCCCAGTTGGATCACCAGTCGCTATGAGTGTAAAACACTCAACTATTAAACACTGTTAATGTCTCTCAAAAGGACATGTAGACGAAGATAAATGTACCGTGCCAGTTTCTAGACTAACGACACCCAGCAATCTCGAAACACTGCGACTGCAGCTACTTTACAAGTTCCTCATTCTGTGCGATTCGGTGTCGTTTCAGAGAAGTGGTCAAACTGGAAACACTGCAGGGTGGTGGTCCAGATGTCTTGTGATCACCATTTAATTCTCTACTAAACCGTTATATTGTTGTCAAGATGTATTTGAAGCAGAAATGAATATGCAAAGGAAACACATTGTAGGGGTCAATTAATTGGGGGGGGGGGGGGGGGGGTCACAAGACATCTGAATCACCAGTAGAGTACCGTATTTGAAGCAAGCAAGTACAGTGTTTCATGACTTCCTTTAGAAAAAACAATTTCTTAAAGTTTGTATACATTAAAAAAAACTCAACATGTGCATCAATAACACTGTGGCCATACATGAAAATACAGTGTCAACAACATAGGTGACGTTTCGGGTAATGAGCCTTCTTCAGAGCCGGAGAGAGATAAGAGGGGTTGAAAGCTGGAGACTGACAAATAATTATATTTGGCAAATGTTTTAACTTTCCGACTATTCGCGGCAGCTGAAGACGGCCGCGATAACGCCAATTACCAATGCCCCTTTTCCTCTCGTTTATCCGCGATTTGTAGCAAAACATGCGCCGTGATCATAGCAAATGCGCGGGCGACATTTACTTTAATCATGAGATTCAGACACACGCGAATACCCGCACGGAAACCAAGAAAAACACCGACACGAAGACACACAAAGACCGTGAGACACACACACAGACACGGAGTCAGAGAGACACGGAGACACACACAGATACACTTAGAAAGTACTGTACAGTATTCTTCCGGTATTGCTACAGCTGGATGATGCCATGGTGTATTGGTTACAGCACTTGTAATCCAGCGGTCACTGGTTCGATCTCCCGGGCACGACAGGTGAGACAATGGGCAAGTTTCTTAGATCCCCCCACCTGTCATCCCAGCAGTGTAAATGGGTACACCACAGTTAGTCTGTAAGGCAGGTCCTGTGGGAATCATAAATCGTGGGTACTCTAACACATGTCCAGCGTGGAAGATTAGACCAAATGCCCTCTAAAGGGGCTCTTCCAGCAGAAGCGGCATGCACAAGAAATTGCAGGGCTGCTCCTTTACCTTTTATTCTTACAGCGCTATGAACGTCCTTGCAGAAAGCTCTGATCATATTGACCAAAAGCTATGGCGAGATGGAAATTGACAAACGTGTTCTCTTTGGTCGTGAATTTGCAAATTACATGAAAAGTAGCCATCGTGTATTGTGTGATCCTCATAATTTGGTCAAAATGTATTTCTTTTTACATGAACATTTCTGTTTAAAATATCATTGAGAGTGAGCATCATCTACGTAACCTGCTTTTTGGATTAAATTGTGTCTGCTAGTCTTTGTGCTGTTGCTACAGCCTGCACGAAGTAGTTGGTGTAACTTGACAATAATGAATGCAGCACGAGAATATGCCCGTGAAATGTCATGGTTGATGTCCCACCTACAACTCTATCTGCCACACAAAAACTCAGTTCCCCACCCGCAATCAGTCTGTAAATTATGGGAAAAAAAACATCATCACAGGAAATTAGTGCAGGCTGGGAAACCATACGTTTCAAACAGCAACACAAAAACGTGTTAAAAAAGTGCCCAGTTTTTGTGCATTATGCAAAAAAACATCAGCACTTCCAGAAAATATGGGTTTTAGATATGTGGTTCCCAGACGCAGACTTCGCAGCAGTATTGGTGCTATACTGTAGCGATGAGTCCGAATTAATACAAACCGGTCTACAATTGTCAACCTCTCTATGTCAGTTACTGAACCCAAATAATAATAAATTCCACTATGACCGAGAACAAGTGACCACAATGCACCTTATTTAAGACCTATTGATGTTTTTTTGCATAATAAACAAATTGCTGAGTTTATTTTTTGCATGTATGTGTGTTGTTCCTCACCTGCAGTTTGGGGAGAGTGAGCATGTGTGGGATTTATAAATTTTACACAAACACCCATACAGACTACACACACTCATGCAGACTGCACTCAAACACAAATATACACACAATATTCACACCACAGGTGCCAGTCATCACCAAGTACAATCTGCTCCAAATCCTGTAGCATATGAGCCCATTTCCTCTCTAGCCTGTGTTATGCCCATTTATCCGACTCTTTCTATCGAAATAGGAGTTGTTTGGACATGCAATGGCTGGTCACGCTAAATGACCGAGCCAGTACATCTTTATCTCCAGAGGAGCTCACTAAAAGGAACATTTTCCGAGAGTTCTTCATACAATCCAGTCTAGTTAAACACAGGGCTCATCGTCGACAGGCCAACCTTAATGTTGATAACTGGTGCATGTATCCATGTAAACGGGCCTACATTTACAAAGTATGGGGAAGAGAGCACATTGCACACACAAACTTACTCATAAGGGTGTTGTGAAAGGCAACACAAGGGCACCTGAGGCACCATGGCAAAACAGAAGTGTAGGTAGCCTCGTGGATTTATCTTGGGGAAAGAGAATGAATGCCATCGGATTGGGGACCGAATTCCAGACTCGGTGGCAATTTACTGTTCATATATTTTTCCCTACATTATTGCATGGGTCACACGTGGTGGGTTGTCCCCTTGGCCATCGGTTTCCATAAAATGCTTTACACCCCAATTATTGTTGGGCTCTCCTGGTGTGGTTTTGCACGTGACGTACCACCAATCACTCTTCTACACAAAGCAGACTCATCGAAAGGATGTGTCACTTTGGGGGGGGGGGGGGGTACGGTGGGAACGGGTTGAGAAGCTCATTGAGTGAGTTTTTGGTGTAGTGAGGGTGCTAATAGGTGAATTCAGTCAACGGAAAACACCTAATTGGGGAATGGCTGATTAACACTGTATTTGCACACTTTTCCAATCACACTTTTTCAATTAAAATCTAACCAGTTACATTTAAAACCTCGAAGTCAAAGTGACATGGATTGTTTGAATGTATTGTCCCTTGCAGATGTATTCAATTTTGTGCGTATTCAGTCTCAAATTATTCCCATTAGGTATCATTCTCTTCTTGATTAAAGGAAATATGCAACCCATTTTTGACGAATATCGACCACTTTTGTTTGAATTTTCCGATGCACACGAGACAGTGGGTCGTGGAAGTGTGGATGCTCCGCCCCTTGAATATGCAAATAATCTGATCATAGAGGATTTTTGGCAAAAGCGGCTATATAAGACCGCTGTTAACGCAGTTCGTGAGTGCGTACACCATGGGAGTGCAGACGATAAAATTTCTGACAGCAGCCAATGCTTAGAAGAATAAACTGGCCAAGAATGCAGAGGAACGTGCGGGAAAAGATCGGTGATGATTTAATTTAATAGATTTTATTTGTTGACATGAGTAAGAAACATTCGGCCATAAGTTGTTTTACATGACGCGTGGAGGACCTTGGTGGAATAAAAAAATAAATACAGCAGATGAACATTGCACACACGGAGTAGCAAACACATTCAAGGCAAACAACATTTAAGTCATGCACCATTCACGTAACACTGGCAGGAAATATGCGTTAAATCGGAAGCATCAAGGCACGCGAAGTCCGTTAACCACTATTGCAGATATGAATGACATCAGAAATATAACCCCATATCAAGGTATTGCAAGAAAGTGTGGAAAACGGGAATCACTTAGCCAGGGTGATAGCTACAGGGAGACACACTGCAGTATGAACGAGTTTATAGCAGTGGTTGTGCCAACATGAGAATATGACACAGACACGCAGATTTATGAGCCAGTGTTTATTTATGGCAACCATCAATCCATCAATTTGCGTATACAGAATATTGCAGAATTATGATATATTAAACCCTTAATATTACGTTCAGGTATTTTCTATTAACTTACATTGTAAATTGATATGATAGTCGTGTAGTCGTAAATATATTATCGAGGACAGAGCTCTCTGGATGTGTGCTGTGGATGACTTATAGCAGTGGCGGGTCGTGACATTTCCATTAGGTGGGGCTGTTGTGAGTGACCTCTGAAAAGCTGGTGTTCTAATTAAGAAAATCCTCATCATGTTATTGGCCTTCCCATGAAAGTATTGCTAATAAATTCCTACCAACGGTAGGCATTTATTAGCAATACGAAACAAAACAACAAAGCACTCAAATGTTGTCCCAATGACCCTGAAGTCCACACTCCACAACCCCTTTGACACTGCCAAAAGCCGTGACCTGCTATTTGCATAGTGCACCCTAACGTTGTGACATAGTAATTACAACCATGGGCGCCTTTTTCACCGCCTTGAATGGGTTTCAAACGGCGTGGCTAAAATGCGAAGTTAATCGCATTAACAGCCGCCCTAAGACTTCCCCGAGGCACAAATAAGACTGTGTTGCAGCGGTTTCTATATTTATAAATTAAAATATTATCTTCATTAGGTAATTCACGTTGAAAGAATCATTACATTTTTATCCACCCCTGAAAGGTGGATACAACAAAAGTATTAGCTCTATGCTTCTAACCGTAATGGAAAACATTTGTAACTCTCGTAAAGATTATGCACCCGAGTCCACTTCTGCCGACGCCAATGCGCCCTCTATCGCGTTCTCTCTGTTCATCCCTTAACTCAGCGGCCCCTTGTACCACAATTCATTCGTACAGCACAATGGGTTGGACCCGTTACATTTATAATTACATATCTAATACTAATTCACAAAATAAACAGCTATACAGTAGTGAAGGCAACTTCACTCCAGCCATCCATGGAACTGACAGGGTCAGCAAGTGGTCATAGTGCTTGCTGTCACTGCTACTAATTCATGGTCAAAGGCTGTATCACGTTATTTGCCTGATGTCAGGTTTCAGAGACTGAGATATTATTTCTGGGGGTTACTATCCCATATATCGTGTTTCAAATATATGAATAATAATCACAAACTGGTAACACATATTGCTTAATTCCCATATAAAAGTAAGATATTTTATATACAATAACAATTGCTGATCGAGAATGGATACCTTCACAGTTGACCAACGAGCCAGCAATTTTCAGGGCTGCTTTCAAGACCAAAGGCTCAGACTCATTAATATAACTTTGCACCAATCAAGTATGCATGCAGTGTAAACGTACACGACACAATGCAGAAAATTATGCTGAGTTCATCTGCAACGGAAAATGTGGAAATTGTACCTTTTCGCAGCAAATGAGAAAGGGATCCACAGGAAGTTAATCGGGCCAGAAACGATGTTGTGTAGAGTGGCACCATGGCACTGATGTGTGGGTGTGCAGTGCAACTGATATGCACAATTTGGAAATACAGTACAACTATTGTTATTTGGAACTGTCTTATCTATGCAGTTAGACATATTTGTCATTCCTGCCTTCAAATTGGCAGTTTCTATTATCTGCAATTTTGATGATTATAAGAGGGTGGGTGGACCAGCAGATGGGTGAAAACTTTTATATTATCTGTGATATCCACATATATGTGGAAAGCCATGGACTGTGCTGCAGACCAATTACAGCCCAAAGCAAGAGAACATTGTGCCATTCGGAAATTGCAAATAGTACCCCTTCCTATAATGCAAATTTAACTGGCTGGCAAGGCTCAGCTTGTCCATTATGGTTACATGGGTGTCTTTGATAATCAGATAATTTGAAAAAAAATATTTGGATGTTGAAACATCTGAAGACGGAATGACTACGTTTGGAGAAGTATATTTTATGTAACATCTTTTCTTACCTTTAATTCTTTAGATATAAAGGTTATGAGTGCATGTGGTAGAGAAAACAATATTACCTGTGATATCCGTGTAAAATAACTAAGAGGAGCTGCATGGCAATTTGATCCTGTTTATAATTCTCCACGGATAAATTATGAAACCTATGTCCAATTTAATCGTTGTTAACAGGCTCAATAGTGAGGACCCCAGACCACACCCATAGGGCAAACATGCAGGGGTTCAGAGAAGTGAGCATAAAATGTGTGTAGATGCTTATTGTTGTCAGCATTGTAAAATAACAGAACCCGTTTATCATAGTCCAAGCCAACACCGATTCTGCGAGGATGTTCACCCACTTCCAGCTCCGTGCTATGCTGGTCGTGCCAGGCCTTGTATTTGTTCTTGTGTTTCCATAAACACCAGGACCTGCTGTTAAATCCAACCAGGCATGCACTGTCTGGTTCTTTACGTTGAATACTCTGGTAAGAGACACCAACACGAAGGTTGTCCACGTCCCCCACATTCACCACCCAGAAGTGGCATCCTTCAGAGAAACTCTCAGCAGACAGCACCTGTGACCAGTATTTGAACCGATCTGGGTGATCGGGTTTTTCTGGAGGGCTCTTGAGCCATTCTGCTGTCTTCCCATCATCTGAGATGTTAAGTTCTTCATGTGCAGTGTTTGGATTAAGAGTTGGAGAGCATTTTACTGCAATGAAACCAGTGAAACATGTGAACAGATATTCACAACCAGAGTTCAGTAAATGAATCCCAGATTTATAACGCCTCCTATTCAGCAAGAAAAAATTAGATGGAAGCATAGATTATATTATTATATTGCTATTGAAACTATTACTTAATGTGTCTGTACTCAACAATACGATTGCCTCAGTTTTTATGTAAAAACAAGTTTTTAAATCCTAATTTACCTGTAATGCATATTAAAACTATACCTAGCAGAAAATTACGTGACTTAAAATGTAACCTATGCAAAAAAGTTATTTTCATCCTTTCGTATTGATATCCATGATTAACGAGTTTTTAAATACTAATTTTACCTGTAATGCATATTAAAAGCATACCTAGCAGAAAATTACGTGACTTATGCAAAAAAGTTATTTTCATCCTTTCGTATTGATATCCATTATTAACGAAGTAAAGTCTCACAATGAGGCCCATTTGCCCATCAGATCCCACATACCGGCAGAGTCAAGCAGGGTCTGCAGCTGCGTTTGCTTATTCTGTCCTGCAAGGATCATCTCCAGGAGCCCTTGACACTTCTCCTCACCCTCAAGAATAAAGAAATTGAGTATAAAAATTGCACGTGCTGAGATGTCAGTAATTTCATAAACCCCCCAGTACACGTGTATATTAATCTTGTATTTTTTATCCATCTCGTACAAGAAATAGAAGGTGTTTTCAAAGATGGATTTATACACTTCTGGCAGCAACTCATGGAACTGCCGCCAAACTTCAGCATTACTAGACTTCATTCTCTTCTCGATGAACATTCGTGGCTCCTGTCCACATGGGAAAGAAGGCACAATGGGAATTGTTTAATGGTATTTCTATCGTTGTAGATTTTACTCTTGCATTATTTGACATCCTTCCTCCAGAGTTGCTAAAAGAGAGTTACATATTGGGTGCATATTATTGAAACACTTACATTTCTGTAAAGGGATAAATGGCCCTGTCATTGTAATCTGGAATTTCCTCTAATGGTTTAGGACTACCCAAGGCATTGAGCTATATTTGTCCAGGATCCCACAATTGTTATAAAGGTGATAACTGACTTTCAAAAGATATCATTTTACAGTTTCACTGCTTACTATCCATCTTCCTTTGATAGTTTTCAGTTCTCCAGTGCCAATACTGTATGAACGTATGTATCTACAGCAAGATGCATGCTTATAGTGATTCTGATTAGAGCTAAGATATCCAGTTATTTTGTGGAATATATTATATTTGTTTCGGAGTACTCTGCCAGTTATTGGATTGATTATGTGATTAATTGGCTTATGCAGATAAAAGTTGGAAACACATCTCACCTCTGGTCCCATATTTGCTGTTGGGTGGGAAGTGACGTAGGAGCTTGGTGATGTACATTGCATCATCAGCCGCGTCACAGAGTGGAGCTTGTATGGAAATTTACAGTAAGCGTGGAACCATTGGTCCAACGGTCTATCCACATGTCAACGTTGGCTCAACATTGAATGTATACTGGGTTCCCATCTTCGGGAGGCATTAAGTGGGGCAGTTGCCAGTTTTAAATAGCCAGAGCAATTGACCACAGCAACGTAGTCAATACAATATTATAGTTAATGGATACATTTAATTGATTCATCATTCCAGCTATAGCTGCGATTGAATGTGTGACATGGGAGGTTTTGTTGTATGAGTAAATGTAGTTAAGACATTGGAAAATATATTGCGATTGGCAATACATTCGTATTCTGATATTGGATGAGGATCTGTCTTCATAGCTTCAATCCCACAGCATCTCAAAGCGAATTAAAAATGCAGTGAAATGCAAAACAATGGAAATAGAGCAAAAGACAGAGTAAGAAAAAGAGATAAAAATTATACGAAAGATCCATGGCCGAGGAACATGACAAACAGTGACCACAGCAAGTACAATCGGGCAACATTCAGACAACAGAGTCCCAGCACCAGCAGAGTCCCAGGGAAGTCTTGAAAAACATGATGGGAAATACTTCGGCTAACCCTTTAAGACCCTACCAAATCACCACCAAAAACCACAACGCCACACCAAAAGTAGGTGTAAGATAGTTTTTGGAGAGTCTACACACCACAATTAGACAGTGGAAGGCTCCACAAGAGTACATGAGTTCCTGTGATGCAATGTCATGGGAGCCAGGCCCCAGCAGATGCTGCTTGACTTACCTCAAGGACATCCTTGGGCACTTTCACACTAAGAAGTGCCACAGTCTCCGTCCCTTTGCCAGAATCACCTGTTCCCGTACAAGAAGACAACGTGACACATGTCCACTCAGTAGCATCTACTGAAAGCATTGCTAATGATGATTCTGTATGCGTTATGCTGTTATGACTATGGTATTATGGGAGTGTGTCTAAAAGTGAACCTGCTCTGTTCGTAGTAAACTTCAAAACGTGGAGTAAAAAACGATTGCAAGGCACGTGATATTAGTGATGGTACAGGTGTGAGATTATAGGATGGTGTTATCAGTCATTAGATGTGCACTGAAACAATTGTACAGCAATTATTTTGCTATATTAATTCATCTGCTGTGCATGATGCAAGCTCTCATTAGCAACCAAATATTCCGACTAAAACATACTGTTTCTGATATCTTGACTAACATTTATTTAAGTTAGATTTTGTGTTTAAATGCACAATTATTAGCAATGTGGAAAATCTCCAAGGTAATGTGTCAGCTGTTTCATGAAGATGGAATTCTGGTCCTAAATGTGAAGCAGATGTTTGGATCCATAATACAGCTTTTTTGGATTAGATCGCGTAAATATAAATGCGTCGTTATACCAGCCACCACCCAACACAGCCAATTGGTAAAGTTTGTTACGTAAACAGAACATGCCAATTCGTTACTAGTGCAGCATATCGGGGTGTTGGAGAGTAAATCCACAACATTTACAATCTGAGTACGACGTTTCGCCAATAATGACAACTAGCTTCATGAGGTGACAGCCAGATTTGTGGAGATATCCTCCTGTTTCGTTCTTTAATAGAGGAATAGATGTTATGTCTTCACTTGTGAGCCCCTCACTTGCAAAGGCCAGGAATGCATATAAATTATAATGGGTATCCATTACTGGTTGGATTATTAATATGTTAATCAACGCACAGTATGCATGCACATTATGGATGCATATTGTTCTTGTGCATCCTGTCGTTTGTGTGCACGAAAATAACATTAAATGATATTATCTACTTACAGGTAATCCCCATCGACTTATGGTGACCTGTATAGGCATGCAGTTAAACAGTGTATTGCTTGGATGACAGTATCAATGTACAATAATATTGGAGAGTAACACATTTTCTTTCGTATGGGTGGAAGCTGATCAGCTAAATTTATGTCGAGGTTGCTGAACCAGTGAAAAGTTGCAGGAAGAGCCTGATGATTATCTGAAATTCTACAAGTTAATTTTTAAAAGCGGGTAGTGCCAGACTATGTGCTCCAAGGTTTGAGATTGTGTCTGCTATCACACTGTGTTCTATTCTTAAATTTTCAGTGCATAAAATAGACACATCTGCCATGCGATGTTCTGATTCAGATAAATACTGCCCATTTTTTGCAGGGCAAATTGTAATTGGTAATTTCTTCCGTGAACTCTGTGATTCTGTGCTGGTTAGGGACTTTGGCAGTGTTGCAGGTGACTCACTCCCAGGACTCAAGTTGAATGAGGGCACTTTGAGAGCTTATGCTCGATCTCACAGTGGGTTCCAGGATATTAATCTAGACTTTCTGAGGTTCTGAAGGTTCTAATGAATTGGCAAGTTTGGCGTGGCCATAAAGCATTTATAGTTGTGGGGTGTTTTTGTGTCTTTGAAATATTTAGGTAGATGTTTGGTGATATTTTGTTGACGTTAGTTACATTGAAGAGTAGTGTGCAGCACGAACAAAGAAAACATTGAAACAAATCAACACAATACAATTATTATATATACATAGTGGTGTCTATATTGAGATGCATCATATTCATTATTGTTGACTGGAAACTCAAGTTAATATTTAGCATTATTCAAATGCTGCGCAATAACATTGTAATAAGCAGGAGTACTGCAGAGTGTTATCTTGGACATTGCCCATTTTCCTTCAAGTTTTTTGTGATGGTGATGTGCACTTGGACATCTTCCAATTAATCTACAGCCCTTATTAGTTGTCTCATGAATCACGGATGGGCCACTCATGAAGCATTGGGCTCATTATGAAACAATGCAAGTTACATAAAATGCTGTAATGTTTCTTACCAAAGGGGTATGAGCATTTCTTCTTCCGACAAATCAATAAGGCCACCACCGCCACCAGAAGAATGAAGGTCACAATTCCAGCAAGAATTGTAATGTTTTTTTCTGCAGGTAGCAAATGGCAGAGGACAAACATTCAGCATGCATATTTATTGACATATACAATTCATTGCCAAGACTATTGATTATCACCCTCTGAAATAATATTACATCGACACCAGTGCTTATGTTTTATATCAGTGCATGAACCAATTTACTTTTGGGAGCAATGTTGTCTCGTAACATGTGTTTAAGCCGAAACTTTGGGATGGTTTATACTTTCAGAGTCTCATCAGCAGTGTGGCCAATTCAACAAATTCCAGGCAGCCAGATGTTGTAGGCAAGAGCTTTCCGCAAACATCGTGACGACTGGTCAGTGCCACACTAAATTTGCTTTCCTGTAGGGATCTGTTTAATGAAGTAAATATGCACGATGAAGCCTGATGGATCAAAGTATATATTAATTTTAACATGCTGTGGTGGCAATAGGGGACAATGTAGCAAGATTCGTTGTTGTCGCGTGAATCTATGCAACCCCTCTTCAGCAACCCCCACTAATCAAAGTGGTACAATTATGCAAAATAAAACCCATAATCCATGTGTATAAATGTATGTTGAAGTTCTTTCATACTGTACATACCCAACCGTGCGAATCGGAGTTGCGCGGGAAGAACAACTAACTTAGCATAGAAAGCAGTTCTAAAGAAATGTTTTCATTCTCAATCTAAACGTGCATAGATCCAGTGGCTTCCTAATATCGAAAGTAAGAGCGTTCCAGACGGCCGCAGAAGTGCATCTGAAAATGCACAATGCATTAACTATCTTTGTTCGATGGCTAGCCAAAAGTTACTGCGATGATGATCAGGGTTTGTGTGATGGTTTATGCTCCTTGAGATCAGCAAGGCATTGTGGTTCATTTGTGGCAATCACTTTGCATGTAATAAGTTCAATCTTATAATGTATTCGTTTGGCAACCGGAAGCCAATGCAGCTCAGTAAGCACCTGACGAACATGATCAGATCTTGCATTAACCGTTACAACACATGCCAAATAATTTTGTACATCCTGCAGCTTGGTAATGTTTTTGCGAGACGTTTCGTAGAGTAGTGACTTGCAATAATCAAGCCCTCTCCATACTATGCAACACGCCACCACAATGGCTATGTCACAACTCAATAGTGGTCGAATCTGTCGTAAAGCCCTGATATGAAAATTGCAGGACCTCATCCAGCAGTGGATTGACAACAGGGCTGTACATCTGTACTGTACATGGAAATGTTGGTTTCGATTGTTGATTACACAATTAATATTTACGAAAACAGATTTTTACAATTGTGCACCGAGCTGCAAAAATCTACAATGCAGATTAACGTGATTTTAACTCCAATGGAATCTTGGGAGTGGTGGCTTGCAGTGCAAAAAACACCGTATTTGATATTTCAATTTCAGATGGTAAGGTCAAGTCATTTATAGTGAGGGAAAAAAGTATTTGATCCCCTGCTGATTTTGTACGTTTGCCCACTGACAAAGAAATGATCAGTCTATAATTGTAATGGTAGGTTTATTTGAACAGTCAGAGACTAGGATCAAATACTTTTGTCCCTCACTGTAAATGACTTGACCTTACGCATGTCAAAAATGTTATAAATTGAATTGCATTTTAATGAGGGAAATAAGGATTTGACCCCCACTCAATCAGAAAGATTTCTGGCTTCCAGGTGTCTTTTGAACAGGTAACGAGCTGAGATTAGGAGCACACTCTTAAAGGGAGTGCTCCTAATCTCAGCTTGTTGCCTGTATAAAAGACACCTGTCCACAGAAGCAATCAATCAATCAGATTCCAAACTTTCCACCATGGCCAAGACCAAAGAGCTCTCCAAGGATGTCAGGGACAAGATTGTAGACCTACACAAGGCTGGAATGGGCTACAAAACCATTGCCAAGCAGCTTGGTGAGAAGGTGACAACAGTTGGTGCGATTATTCGCAAATGGAAGAAACACAAAAGAACTTTCAATCTCCCTCGGCCTGGGGCTCCATGCAAGATCTCAACTTGTGGAGTTGCAATGATCATGAGAACGGTGAGGAATCAGCCCAGAACTACACGGGAGGATCTTGTCAATGATCTCAAGGCAGCTGGGACCAGTCACCAATAAAACAATTGATAACACACTACGCCGTGAAGGACTGAATTCCTGCAGCGCCCGCAAGGTCCCCCTGCTCAAGAAAGCATGTAAACATGCCCTTCTGAAGTTTGCCAATGAACATCTGAATGATTCAGAGGACAACTGGGTGAAAGTGTTGTGGTCAGATGAGACCAAATTGGAGCTCTTTGGAATCAGCTCAACTCGCCGTGTTTGGAGGAGGAGGAATGCTGCCTATGACCCCAATAACACCATCCCCACCTTCAAACATGGAGGTGGAAACATTATGCTTTGGGGGTGTTTTTCTGCTAAGGGGACAGGACAACTTCACCGCATCAAAGGGACGATGGACGGGGCCATGTACCGTCAAATCTTGGGTGAGAACCTCCTTCCCACAGCCAGGGCATTGAAAATGGGTCGTGGATGGGTATTCCAGCATGACAATGACCCAAAACACACGGCCAAGGCAACAAAGGAGTGGCACAAGAAGAAGCACATTAAGGTCCTGGAGTGGCCTAGCCAGTCTCCAGACCTTAATCCCATGGAAAATCTGTGGAGGGAGCTGAAGGTTCGAGTTGCCAAACGTCAGCCTCGAAACCTTAATGACTTGGAGAAGATCTGCAAAGAGGAGTGGGACAAAATCCCTCTTGAGATGTGTGCAAACCTGGTGGCCAACTACAAGAAAGGTCTGACCTCTATGATTGCCAACAAGGGTTTTGCCACCAAGTACTACGTCATGTTTTGCAGAGGGGTCAAATACTTATTTCCCTCATTAAAATGCAAATCCATTAATAAAATTTTTGACATACGTTTTTCTGGATTTTGTTGTTGTTGTCATTCTGTCTCTCACTGTTCAAATAAACCTACCATTAAAATTATAGACTGATCATTTCTTTGTCAGTGGGCAAACGTACAAAATCAGCAGGGGATCAAATACTTTTTTCCCTCACTATAAATGACTTGACCTTACCATCTGAAATTGAAATATCAAATACGGTGTTTTTTGCACTGCAAGCCACCACTCCCAAGATCCCATTGGAGTTAAAATCACGTTAATCTGCATTGTAGATTTTTGCAGCTCGGTGCACAATTGTAAAAATCTGTTTTCGTAAATATTAATTGTGTAATCAACAATCGAAACCAACATTTCCATGTACAGTACAGATGTACAGCCCTGTTGTCAATCCACTGCTGGATTATTTGTCAGTGGGCAAACGTACAAAATCAACAGGGGATCAAATACTTTTTTCCCTCACTGTAATTCGTAAATATGTGGCCATAATATTCGAATATTTTACCTGCGCTGAGCTGTTTTGAGAGACCGCATGGACTTACTGTAAAAGACAAGTTGGAAGAGTAGCACCCTCAAACTAGCCACCTGTAACCATTTGCTTTGCATTGAACTGCCCATATAGGACTCACCACTGTGATCTCTACATTGGGTCAAACTTAACATCCCTTAATGTTCGACGGCTTGTGCACCAGATCTTATTTATTCACGATGTATTTACAAAAAAATTCGCAGACTACCTGCTGGATCTCCTCTCTGTTTCAAAGAACAAATTTGATCTCAGGTCTTCGCTCATTTTCTACATTCCCTATTGCCGTACAAAAACCGGAGGAAGGGCCTTTGCTATTGATGCCCTCAGGGTCTGGAATGCTATTGCCAATAAACTTCAACTTGAATCACTACCTATGAGATTTTCACTCAAAACTGCTACACCTCTAGCTGCCACTGCTATTCGGTGGCCTAAAATAAAATAAAATGTTTCGCTCCGGATGACCGCTGCAAAGTATTATCTGTATTTTTATTTAGTGTGCTGATCTTAAAGGTGCATTGAAAAATGCGATACTCCGACTGATGTTCCTGTTGTTGTGGAGTGACTCATGCAGCCAGCTATGGCTCTAGGGTTTGGTGCTACATGTTATTTATGTAGTTTATTGTAAAAAAATCGGTCACAGTCCCTATGATCACTGTTACATTGCATTTTTGGCTTTACTTTGGTGATTTCGAAAAGTTTTTTGGTTTGGCCATGTTTTTGTTTCTTGTAGTACAGAGTTAGACTGATGGCCTTAATCTAAGTTGTCTAGTGGTTGTTGTTGTTGTTTGAATTGCATCCCACTGGGATTTTTGCACACAGCGTTGCTGTACGGTGCTTTTTCAGGAATATTTTGATGTTTTTTTCCTGGAATTTCTGTTTGCACAGTCACATAGTCACTTTAAGATGTTTCTTGTTCATGTTTTTGTTTTTCGTTTGTTGTGGTTGCACCCGATTCAAGAGCCGAATGGCTCACAGAGCTATGCCAAATAAATGGAACTGAACTGAACTGAATTTGCGCATGGGATATACAGTTGTAGTGACTGGGAATGTCACTTGCAGGCCCGGTACCAACCCTAGTGGGGGCTTGGGGGAGCGCTGGTTAGCGTGGTGGCACCAAGTGCAGGACCTGTGGACACATGACCGGACGATACCGGAGGGGGGCCCCAGGTGGACGGGGCCAAAGGGTGGTCACATGGTCTGGGAAGAGCTTTCGAGAGTCTCCGGGTAAGGGCGAAAAGATCTTGAAGGTGGGCGGGACCAGAGGCGGAGCCGGCCCCAACTCGAGCAGATATGAGGGGGTCCCTGAGAGGGACCCCGGGTTCTTCGTGTTGTAGTATTGGAAGATCCACGTCAAGCCTTGAAGAAGCCTCCAACCACGTGGTCCCGGACCCAGCTCGTGGTCCGGACTGGGTTAGCATAGAACTCATATGTTAATGTGTGAGCGTGGTTAGTCGGGTGGTCACCACCCTAGGTGTATGTTGTGTTGGTACAAATAAACGTGTTGCTCCTAATAGAATGGCTGCGACTTGGTTGGACTCACTACACATTCCATAACCTCGGCTATGTTGGCTCATTGGTATAATATAATATAGCATGAGTACTTTATAAGATGCCAAACCAGTTTAATACTTGAAGCACAGTATATTGCCATGGCAATGTAGGTACAAAGTTGGTGCAGTGGCTTGCGCAATATGCCACGACCCCAGAAATGTGAGTTTGTTACCAGCCACAGCTAGCATCACTAGCATCTAAACTGGTCCCGCCGGCACCCCCCACCCCAACTCTTCACCAACTCACACAAACGAGCGTGGAGACGTATGGTCAAACAACATACATAACTGAAATGGCATGGTAAGGTCTTTAGCTAACACCGGATGCGGACATTCCATGAAAGATGTGGACACTTTCTCCATGAATGTAAAATCTATGAGAGTCCAGTTTGTGATGAGTGTTCATCGCCAAGGTCCAGTCTGTCTGAGACCATCCCTTTCCCTGCCATACTGACATCGCATTCGCCCCTCACCCTTCGTCCTGCGGATGGTGGGCCCCTGGGCCAGTGCCACGAAACCATTTCTGGCTGGGCCTGACCCGGTTACATGGATCACCCGGCCAGCAGGCCCTTGCCGGTGAACACCACCGCCAGGCCTGGCTCCAGGGGTGTTTCCCGGTATCCCTTGTCCAGGCTATGTTCTCTGATTTTAGTATTTTGTAACCATTCACGAGGGGCTTTATTTTTATTTTGGACCATTATTTGCCTGGAACCTCACCCAGACCTGTTCGCCAAGGGAGCCCCTACCAGTGGCGGAGCCAGTGGGGGGGGGGGGGGGGATCGCACGTGCCCTCCCAATGATCCGATCGAAATCCCTAATTTCGATCGGATCATTGAGGTTTATTAGTAATAAATCGGCATTTTGTGACCCCCACTGCCACTGTGTAGCATATTATCATGTGCCAGGGACTCTTTGAGATGATAGGACAATAGTCTGAGTCCATAATTGCCAATAAGTAATGGCAAAGCAGTTACCGAAAAAACCAATGAGTAATTTATGCAGTCACGAAAGCTTTAATTCTTTATTAACACACTACTACGGGGAAGTTACCTTTACAATTCTGTCCTAAACTTATTGCCTTGTGTTGTCTGTTCTTCGAAGTGCCTCAATGTGCTTCATCTTTTGTTTAATGTGCTTCGTTTTTTGTTTACCGTGGTTTTGTGTTTGTCTCTATACTTCCGTCTGTTTCTGCCCGCGCCCTTGCGCCCCTTGCTTTCTTCGGCCCCTCCCCCCACTTCTGCTGCCGTCTGTTTCCACCCGCCCCTTGCTTTCTTCGGCCCCTCCCCCCACCTCTGCTGCTTATTTAAGCCTCTGTCTGTTCATCCCTCTGGCCCCTTTTTCTTGCTTCTCTGTCCGTCTTTCCTCTTCTTACCTCTTGTGTCCCTGTATATGTGTGATGCCGCCGCCACGGAGCCGATCGGCGGGTGGCCCACCTGCGATCTCGCCGCCCCGAGCAGCGAGGCCGACATTGCTCCACCCCACCACCTCCCCACCCCCCCACCGGAACACACACGCACGCACTCCCCCCACCCTTAGAGCACGTGGGGAGACACCCTGGCCGACAGGTTTTCACCCAGAAGCCCTCGTAAAGGGGTAATCTTCACGGTTTCCTGCGGCCAGGGAATTGGACGGTCTCCTCCGATGCTAACACCCACCGTGGCGCCGTGACTTGAGTAGAAATGACATGCTCACGGCGGGGCTGCCCCGCCACCGCGGTTAGTACGCACCTCACGCACACGGGTCGGCAGGGCAGGCAGGTAGGAGGGCAGAGCCACGAGCGGCGGGAAAGCAGGGTCGCCCTCCGGCTGGAGGGCCGCTGAGCAGGTAAATTTAGATGCGGACGTCGCTGAAAGCAACGGCCCGGGGGATGCTGGGATACAGATAGGCCTACCGATTGGCGGGTGATCCCAGCGAGCTGATTGGCCCGCGAGTCGGTACCAGGTAGCCCCTTTGATGTAGAAAGAATAAAGCGGGTCAGGGCGAAGGAAAAAGGTTCTCTGGCTACTCGAGTCAACCCCAGGCCCGTCAACTCCCGAGTCCAGCCGCGCGAACGTCCGTGGGACGTATCGACGCGCCGCGAGGACCAGCCGGCAGTGACGACGAACCGTGAGTAAGAGAGAGAGAGAAAGAGGGGGTTGGGACTTAGCTGAAGAGGAAAACCGGAGAGGGTAAAGGGGAGGAGGACAGGTAGAGTGTAGTGCCGACTATCGACGAGATAGATTGGTCCTGCCCCGCTGATCCCGACTGACTCGGTTAAATAAGGGCTCGCCGACGCGGTGGAATAAATCGTCGGCGGTTACATAACGGACTGGTGTGGTTTTTGCGAGGGTGTGGAAAGAGAGTGGACGCGTGGGTGCGCTTGCTGTTCTCGGTGGTCGCCGCGTGTGTGGAGCGGCGCCGCGTGGAGTGTGTGCGCTACAAACCGTCGGCTGCGGACTCCCACGTTGCGAGCGGATACCCGTCTCGCACGCATGCCCATCGCATAGCCCTTTAAACCCGTTTAATCCAATCCCCCCAATCGTCGGAGTGAGCACGAACGACGTCGCTTACCCTCCGACCTTTAACCCCCCTGTTACCCGCGTGTGATTGGTGCGTGGGACTGCGCGGGCGGGGAGCGTCGCGTTTGGGTGCCGGCGAAGCGCTAGCGGGTCCCAGGGCGGTCGAGTGTGATGCCTCACCGGCAGGAAACCCGGACTCGGGGGGGGACAGCACAGGGGGGGGAACAGGAGCGCGACGACCTTTCCCCGCCCGGGGAGGAGTGCGGCGGCGGCAGCTCCCACACTAGTGGAGAGTCTGGGAGCTTCGGTGCTTCGCGGACAGGGTCACAGGCAGGAGAGATCCCGGGGGCCGGCGACCCCAACATATGTTTTTCTGCTACCTTGTACCTCGTATTTGTTCATTCTGTCTATGCTGGTGTGTTCAACCCAGAGGATGGACACGAAATTTAGCACTCTTCTGAAATTCGTGGTCCGTCAGGCAAGTGTATAACTGTGTTGTTGGCCGACTGGTTTTGCATCATGTAATTTTTTCTTAGGTTTGTTAAATTCTCGTCTCTCATCTTCTTGTTGTATTTACCTCCGTGCAGTTTAACGCTCTCTATGTGTTGCGTTGATGTCACCCTATGTGCTCCCTCGCTATTTTTTTTTGTTACTTTTACACCTGATGAAGATTGCTTGTGTTGCGGTCGAAACGTCGTGATTTATTTGAATATAATTTTATTGTATTTCTACATACGTGACTTTACCGAAAAACCAATGAGTAGTGTGAGATCAGTCAGCACAACTCGGTGTCTTTATATCTAGAATTGAATGTGACAACAATGGCATGATTCAGCTTGTGGAGTGGTAAAGCACCTCATGCCTCCAAAGAAGCACCATGCTGGCATGGCATGGCCTCAGCATGGCTCGGATGTACAAATATAAAACAGGTATAATAATGTGCAGTGTAAGCACATCTGCTCTCCAACTAGTATTTGCGACTTTCTGGATAAGGTTTCATTGTTTCATCAACCTTCAATGGTAGGTTAGGTTTCGATCCACAGTATTCCCAATATATTTTGGGAGCAGCTGATTCTAGACTTCCTTGCTCTAAATACACATTTGGTTCAGCATATACCAGCTAATTGTTCCAATGGAAAACAGTAACCATGGTCTGGTATGGAGTGGCCAATGTCTGACATATTCACGGTTAGGTCCTTGGTGAGGGAATAACCTGTTTTAGGCTTGACACCTGTGTAGCAAGGGAAAAATCATGTGTAGACATTTCTCTGATGTGTGTGGCATGTCATTTATATAATAAATGCATAATAGTGGGGCAAGTAGGGAGCTCTGTATGGTATTTCAAAAAAATACTCGGAACAGCCATATTGACAAGATTTGAATCACGTCCAAGATGTGCAAATCCTTTACGAATTTCCTAATGACAGCGCCTCTTACTTGCATTTGTTGGTAACATAGGCTTTAGAGATAAATTAGACATTTCTCACCTGTATTTGATGTAACTTCACAAGGCTGTGAAGGATCAGGCCGACTGTATCCATCCTTACACTGACACATGGTGTCACTAGTGACATTACAGTCCTGTTGAAAATCTTCATCTGCACGACAGAGAAAAGGAAACTTAGTTTCATTTCAATACTGCATTGATTGTTTCATATACAAACCATTTTGATCCTGTAAATGTTGTGAGTTTACTCTCCAACATACCGGTGTGGGCATGTTTTGTTTCCGTGAGAAACCTTCATAATTGGCTGTGTCGGTTGGTGGTGGGTTTAACGACGCATTTATATTGACGCAATCTAACCCAAAAACCTCTATTATGGATGTTGGTCTTGGCAATATATGTCCGAAGTAGCTATTGTTCAAAAAGTGTGTTCATAACTTTAGCATACTGTACATACAAATGGTAATATGATATAACACACATTATCTGGTGTCTGTGGAGATCATGGTAATTGAGAAACTAATGTATTGGTGAGAGGAGTTACTCTCTGATCGTTATAATCGAACAGTGGGTCACATTTACCAGTAGCATGGCATTCAAGAATGCATGCCGCAACGCAGCTCAACTCAAACAATTATTGGAATTATAACCGAGGCGACATGAGGTGAGTTTATCTAATCTCGTCTAACCTGTGGAGGTTCATCAGAGATGAGATGGGGGACCAATGCGATGGCAGTTTAAGAAGTCATAGATGTTGCTTCTCCTCTTTAATGCGGCATAGTTCTCAATTTGTATCACCTGGCGTTGTGTGTATGAGAAGACTAGAAACACAATTTATTCCGGCAACATTGCCCTGTAATCTGCCAGCATTGGAGATAGTGGCTTAGTGGATGTTGCCATGGACCCTATTGACTGTAATTGTGGACATTTTAGGTGAGTTGTGAATAACCAGGATATATTAATCTCAACTCTTAAATAGGAATTACTAGGGCTTCCAGTGATGTCATCTCTGCATATGATTTCACTCTCCCCCGGTTCCTGTGCATTGATTAATCCTCTATTTTACAGTTTCATTTCAGATTTTAGTATTCTAATAGTATATATTTTTCGATTTAAAGCTTTCGTAACTGCAAGGATTCATCTTCTTTGGTTCTTTCGGTAAAGTCACGTAGAATGAGAATAAAATAATAAATTGATAAAATAAAATAACACAATAATATTCTCACGACGTTTCGGCCACAACACAAGCGGCCTTCATCAGGTGAAGGGACGAGACTGTCTGGTAGGACAGCGCTGGAGTGAAAAAAGCCACGTTCAGATCACGACCTTTAAGCTGTGTCAGAAGAAACAAAGCGCCTTGACAGAGGAATTAGCATATAATTTAGCATTGAAATGGCCGAGTGATTAGCTTGTGACTGGTCACAGAAATGGCTATGTTAAAGTTAAAGCATACACATCCGCAGATGCACCCCTTGGCAAAGGAATTAGCATAGAATTTAGCATTGAAATAGCTGAGTGATTAGCTTGTAACTGGTCACAGAAATAGCTATGTTTAAAGTCAGAGCATACGCATTCACCGAGGCACCTAGTACAAATCAAACAGGAGAATTTAACATTGAAATAACTAGGCGAATTTAGCATTTAAATAACTGAGTGATTAGCTAGTGACTGGTCACAGAAATGGCTATGGTGAAGTCAAGGTCTACACATCTGAGCTATTCACAGTAACTGGGTATACAATACAATGTATAATGAATACTATATAGTGAACCAATACAAATCTAAAATATAAATAACCTTAATGTTATAATCTTAGTTTTTTTCGGTAAAGTCACGTTGAAGAGAAACAACAAAATAATAATATATATAAAACAATAAAAAATAAAAAAAATTCTCACGACGTTTCGACCATAACTCAAACGGTCGTCTTCAGGTGTGTTGGTTCGCATAAATTTATTTTTAAACGGCGCATTTATTTATTTATAAAAAAAACGTTAGCGCCACGCGCAACGATTTGGCAGTTTACCCAGGACTAGTCCATCTATATTCTGAAAAGAGGAGGGGGGAGACGAAATTTTTTATAATGTATGCTGTCTGAAAGCCACTGTAAGCGTGAACAATCAATTAAGACCTGAAATGGTTTATCAAATCTTTCCAATGATTGCTAAGATAGAATCCATCTTCTCGGTTGAAATTGTCTCTGTGCTTGTATATGTGGATAGCCTCATGAACGAATCTCTCATGGAAGCCAGATGGCTTACAAAGAACCTCTGTCTTGGAAAGTCAATGGCATGTGAGCCTACTGAATTAGAACAATGATCTGCCACGGCCGAGGTGTTGGTCCTACCGTGTTTAAGGTCTGCTTTGTGTTCACGAATGCGGTCCGAGACATGGCGTTTGGTTTCTCCAATGTAACTACTACCACAGAGGCAACTTAGTTTGTAGACACCAGGGTATTGTATGTCCGGAATCACATCTTTTACAGACGGAACCAGATCACGGATTTTATGTAATGTGTTGAAAGGGACCTGGATCTTGTGTTTATTCAAGATTTTGGAGATCTTTTTTGTGATCCCAGCAATGTAGGGTAAAGTGATGGTTTTGAAAGGCTCCTCAAGAGGGTTTTTCTTCATGGTTTGAGTGATAGCTTTGCGGATTGTATAGTCGGAGTAACCATTAGCCCTAAGAGCTTGGTGTACGTGCTTGAGTTCACTGCTTATGTGTTCCTGGTCGGATATGCATTGGGCTCTATGATACAGAGTCTTGATGAGAGAATTCTTCTGTGATGGATAAATAAATGCACCGTTTAAAAATAAATTTACGCGAACCAACACACCTGAAGACGACCGTTTGAGTTATGGTCGAAACGTCGTGAGAATTTTTTATTGTTTTATATATATTTTATTATTTTGTTGTTTCTCTTCAACGTGACTTTACCGAAAAAACTAAGAATATGAATTACTGCAGTCACGAAAGCTTTAAATCAAAACCTTAATGTTATCAATAAACTCTATATTCTCCAATCAGCTAAGCTACCAACAATAAGACTTATTGTTGGTAACTTAAGACTTATTGTTGGTAGCTTAGCTGATTGGAGAATATAGAGTTTATTGATAACATTAAGGTAATTTATATTTTAGTTTTTTATTGGTTCACTATATAGTATTCATTATACATTGTATTGTATACCCAGTTACTGTGAATAGCTCAGATGTGTAGACCTTGACTTCAACATAGCCATTTCTGTGACCAGTCACTAGCTAATCACTCAGTTATTTCAATGCTAAATTCTCCTGTTTGATTTGTACTAGGTGCCTCGGTGAATGTGTATGCTCTGACTTTAAACATAGCTATTTCTGTGACCAGTTACAAGCTAATCACTCAGCTATTTCAATGCTAAATTCTATGCTAATTCCTTTGTCAAGGGGTGCATCTGCGGATGTGTATGCTTTAACTTTAACATAGCCATTTCTGTGACCAGTCACAAGCTAATCATTCGGCCATTTCAATGCTAAATTATATGCTAATTCCTCTGTCAAGGCGCTTTGTTTCTTCTGACACAGCTTAAAGGTCGTGATCTGAACGTGGCTTTTTTCACTCCAGCGCTGTCCTACCAGACAGTCTCGTCCCTTCACCTGATGAAGGCCGCTTGTGTTGTGGCCGAAACGTCGTGAGAATATTATTGTGTTATTTTATTTTATCAATTTATTATTTTATTCTCATTCTACGTGACTTTACCGAAAGAACCAAAGAAGAGTATATATTTTTGTTCTGAGACCATCTTATATTCCCGACTTATTATACATTCCCTCTTTTTTCTATAGTGCCTTTTCAACTTCTGCAACTTTTTGATCCAATTGATGTGAAACCTGACCCGCCATCTTGTCTTCACCCTCCTGACTGCGGTCTACTGGCCCGCAGTGCGACCGGGGAGTACCGGTTCAAACTGTCTGTGCCATCTTCTTCTTTTGAGCAGCTCAATATCGTGATAGTCATATTCTTTAAGTTATTTAAGATGGAGGCCCTTTCTCATGAATGAAGAAAGACGATCATCATATGTCACAACAAGATGGATAGCAGCCTACTCAAGTTGAGATCAGCTCGAGGATTGGGGCCCACTGTCTGGCTTTGCCGTCAAGCACCGACCCCAGCCTCTTGTGGAGTAAAGTGCGTCCCACTTTGAGTGCTGTGACTCCAAGAATAAACCTGAAAATTATTTTTCTCAGCCCACCTTTCTCGTCATGGATCGACCCTCATCATGTATGGTACGTCCACAGATGTAATGTTAAGTGCAGCCTATGAAGCAACATGCTTTCAACCTACCTCGGATTGCATAGACTTTTGTCTTCTTTTTAAAATATATCATACACCACGACCCACTTTCTAACCAATTGTAAGGTGATATAACGATCTTTTTCATCCATTTGGTTACTTAACCTGTTTGTTTCATTTATTAATGTTTGATGCATGTATCTCCACACTCAAATAACACCTATATAAACACCCGAAACCTACTGATGTGGAACTCTTACAGAGAAGATTGCAGGTGCTGCACTTTTTGCATTTAGGATCACGGTTTGCAACGTCCATGTAGTCCTTCCCTGGGATGCAAGATGTACATAAAGATTGGTCGCCATTGTAAAAGCAGTCATAAAGCCACCTGCTTCCTGTAAAATGGACAAGTTCAAGTAATGATGTCAGAAAATTACTTTTGTTTGATTAAATATTACATTTCTTCAAACACGCTATTCAATGTGGATGCATTTATAATTGATGACGTTATTTATACAAAGCATAATATGAATTCAAAAACATTCATTTATAATGCCTTTTAATGTTACTCTCTGGCCTGCTGTAATACATATCACAGGATCATTCATTTGAGCAATGAATAAAGGCATTTCGGAATGCTTTTGCGTTTTACCAGGTAAGGCCCACTGAGCTATATAGCTATTTTCAGAAACGACCTGGCCACAAATGATAGCTTATCATATGAAAATGTTTCGCAGCCAATTACTCGAAATGATAATTGACACAGCTGAGTACCGAACAGCTGATTAGATATAACCTAGCCCAATGGTGATGGTGATCAACTTTAGCCTTCCCAGGTATATCATAGAAATGCTCTGTTGCAAGTGTAGTGACATATAATGGATCACAACGGCACCTGGTGCCAGTTACTGATAGAGAGGAGAACTGGGAGTGAGTAGCCCTCTCTGACAGCAGGGTGTGCTATGTAATGGAAAAGGGTCCCCAAGGGGCATGGTTCTGATGGCTGGCAGAGAGAGGGCATGTGAGGACGGAGCAGCCCGATTGGCTGGCAAGGGAACGTGACAGGACAATGTAAGGATGTGGGTAAAAGGTGACAGAAGACACACGTGGTGTATGGCCCAGAATCTTCTGGTGAGTTCCAGTAGGGGGCGTGGCCGAAGGCGGAGCTAGGCCACGCTGGGGGGCATAAAAGGCAGGTCTCGGGGTCCCATCGGGGCTGTCTGCTAGAATGGAACCCGCAGTGCTACATCTTCTCCTCGGTCTACGGTCTTTGTGCTCGGCATCGTGGGTCAGGCAGTGTGCTCACTGACCTGACCCGTTTATGTAGTTACCCCGTGGTTGCCGGTTATGTAGTTATCCCATTGTGGTTACGTTTATATAGTTACCCCGTTGTGGTCATAGAATGAACGTGTTGCCTCCTGAGTTAAGTGTGTCTCTCAGTGGACCCACTACACAAGCATTGCCTTAATTTTATTACTTGTAGAAACAATCATCAATCGCTTATATTGTCTACATGAAAACCACACATTATACAAACTAATGGTTGACCATTTAGAGCAGTATATGCATTGCCCGTCACAATGTTACTGCTTTGATCGGTTACCTGGAGGACAGAGGTGGCAGCAAAACCCGTTAGCCGCTCTGTATTGTCCTTTGTCTTCACATTCATTATGCTCAACCTTAACATGAAATTAAAGTAGAACACGAGTCAAGGCACAGCTTAGTGTATGCAACAATTCAATATATTTTTGTCTTGCCTCTTAAGCCTCGTTTCTACTGTCTGAATGTACTGTCTGCTTCACACTGTGTATCGTTTGTACTGTCTGTTATACATATAGTGCCTTGCTTGTACTGTCTTGTCTGTTCTGTATGCCTACATTTTCCAGTCTCATTTCGTTATATTACCCTGAAGGAAAACGAATAGAAGAATGTATTACTTAAATAATAAAAATATTCAACTTGAAAAATAAATGTTAAACGTAAGAATTGAAAAAAACGACTTATTGTTAATACTTACTCCTGACCATAAAACCAATAATTATTTGGGCTCTGTCCAGTTAACGTTGATATCGAGAATAAAAGCATTTTTTAATGTAGGAATGACATATTTTCCCTCTCCTGATGCCGAGGAGAGATTGGTGAGGTTCGGGACTCTTGACACGTGCAGGTGCTACGACTTTGCTGGATAGCCAGTCCAGATCGACCTATATCAGTGTTCTTCATAGCAAGGCCCGCGGGCCACTAGCGGCCCCTGGTGGCCTTTAGTGGGGCTCCTGACGTGCGGCCTCCGACAATACACATTTGTGAAAACACTCCCCCATCATAGTGCTGTCAAACCCAGTGGTTTAAAATGTGTGGCAGCCCTCAAACTGATGATGTCTTATCGGCGAAAGTGGCCCCTCTCTGAAAATGAGCGAAGAACACTGCCCAAGAAACTGGCTGATGGAGGAGGAGTTCCAGTTAGGTAATAAATTGGCAGGCTCATTCTCACAGTATTCTACACCTGAGAATAAGGAGGGGCTTACAAAAACCTTTACTCAGTAGTTGGCTCTATTAGGTACAAACAGGATGAATGATTAATGATCGGTTGTTGGGGACCAACTGTTTACTGATCTCAACTATGTTAATGATGCAGTTCCTTTTAACAGAGCAACCAGCATCACGGCCCATAGCACCGACAGGATTTGACCAAGCAAATATTACTATGGGCCTTCAAACTTCCTAGACAAAAGCTAATCTTCAGATAATCGGTTTAACGCGTAGGCTTTCGCGGCCAATATCATCCATAATAGAGTTCTTTTTTGGGTTAGATCGTTGTCGCTGTCGCCTGATGAAGCTAGATGTAATTACTGGTGAAACGTCGTTCTCAGATTGTAAATGTCGTGTCTTGGGTCTCCAACACACCAGTGTGCTGTACTAGTGATGAATTCGCATGTTCTGTTTATGTGACAACCCTTACTAGTTGGCTGTGTCGGGTGGTGGTGGGTTTAACGACACATATTTACGTGATCTAACCCAAAAAAACCTCTATTATTCAGATCATGGGTTGTGGCTCGGCAGCAAAAAGTGAATGCTGCAGATATGACCATAGGCCAACTAATGTTGATGAGGGTGATGATATTGATCATGTTAATATTGACGTTCATGTTAGTTTACAAATGATAAATCACTGTACCATGCATTATGCAACGTGTTAATGTTTTATACAGATCTAATTTAGTGTAACACAAAATTATTATATTTTAAGGTAAGTAAATACATTATTACCTCTGTTAACGACTCCTCTTGGAACGAAGATCTTTTATAACAAAGTCGCTTAGAGAAGGAAGCTTCACCGCCCTATTTTTGCAAAAGATTAATAAATATATTTTCTGAAATCATAAGAAGCGATTCCAAAGAATGAAATTTAAAACTTACCCTGTGAACCACAGTAAAGGTTTTTTGGGTTAGATCGAGTAAATCTATAAATGTGTCGTTAACATGCCATCACCCAACACAGCCAACTCGTAAGGGTTGTCACGTAAACAGACTCAAGAGCGCCGGAGCCTGGTCACCACATCTACGCCTCTATATAAGGAACGAGACAGTTGGACTTCTCCACAAATCTGGCCGTCGCCTGATGAAGCTAGTTGTAATTACTGGCGAAACGTCGTTCTAAGATTGTAAATGTTGTGGCTTGGCTCTCCAACACACCGGTGTGCTGTACTAGGGACGAATTGGCACGTTCTGTTTACGTGACAACCCTCACTAATTGGCTGTGTTGGGTAGTGGCAGGTTTAACGACACATATTTAAGTGATCTAACCAAAAACACCTCTACTATGAATGATATTGGTCACGAAAGACTACATGTACCCTGTGAACTCATCCGAGTGGGGTTTGATTACATTATCAATATCCAATCACCAAAGAGCTTGGGGAGTCTCCCTCTCGGGTCCGCCGTTGCTCGAGTTCCTCGTGGTGATAAAATTGTATAGTTTTTTTGCAATGACAAAAATATTTTATTACCCCCACATTAATTCATCCAAATGACCATTTAGCGCAGGGTCGGCAAGCTGCGGCTCCTGGCCAGCATGCGGCTCTTTGGCTTCTCTCTTGCAACTCTTTGGCTGCCCCCTCGCCGGCAGCCGTTTATTAACAAAAACGTTAATCTTAAACATAATTTAATGTAAAGATAATTAGCGATGTATTAAATACGACAGGAAATGCGTCACTATAGAATGTCTTGGTGACGACAAAATGTACAGTTTTAAAGAATAACTAAGGGGGATAAATACTAAATAGACGTATTTTATTCCATCACATATTTAGTTTGTCAGAATTTGTCACCTGCTATGTTTGTGTACAAGTAGCTCTGCGTGTGATGCGGCTCTCGAACTATTTTGGTCAAAGACAAAAACCAAAAGAATGGCTCTTCTTAATTGAAAAGTTCTTGACCCCTGGTCGAATGCAAGTGGCCCTACTTGGCAAAAAGTACAACGTAAATCCCTCTCTTTGGAAACGAAAATGCAGATCATAAGGAGGGTAGAGGCCGGAGAGATGACATTGAAGTGGTGAGTTCGTTAGGGCTAGCGCAGTCCACCTTAAAGATCATTTAAAACCAAGCAGACAAATTAAAGACGACTGTGCGGCCATGCTATCCTTTTCTACCGCCTTCTCTCTGAAGTCTTGAAACGCATCCCAATGCATCATTTGTTATATCTACCCCTGATAACAAAGTTTCTGATAACAAAGTGACGTCATGGAACGCATTTTCTTCATTTACCGAGGTATCACTCAATATTAATCATTATATGACGTTTTCTAAGCCGCACCAGTTTCAGCAAAGGGTTTCAGAGCGCTACGGAAAAATATATCTCTAGTAGTCTAGTTTATTTACCGCATCATAGGAAATAAGTAGCATTTACTACTCGGCGGTCAGGTATAGTCGGGTTTCAGGCAGAGCGTTCTAAATCTGAGGGCCAAGGACCAAAAAAAGCCAAAACTCCTAAAGTTTTTGCCGAAAGCGTGGCTGTGTGAGGAGGTCAAACTCAAATATTGAGGCAGTTCTTGAAAGAGTGCTTTGTGAATTTAGCACAATAATATTATTGGACTTTCCCACAATTTTTATCCCAAAACACATAAGTTATACATGATGTCCAGTCATGCTTGACAGATTTTCCGTCTTGAAACTCGTGAACAAATTAATGCTTCCCTTGTCAATGGCTTTGCTGCTGCTTCTAGTAAGGTTGAGACAGCCTGCTATGTAGCAGTGACATACAGAAGCAATGTGATATCCTAATGTTCGTGATATTATGGTTTTGTTGGGTTTGAAAAGCTAGTCTTACGTTTTTTTTTGTATATACCAGTCATGTAGATTTTTATTTAACAATATTTCGCGTTCAACAGTTCGTGCTACCTGCCTCATAGGTACTGGACATCTGCGAAAAAGAGCTTCATAGCTCATCGGATTCATCCAGTATAAATACATATTCAGATTCTGTGTTATCCAAAATTTAACGTTTTACCCTGCATTGTGATGGTCGTGGAGCCTCAAAGTTTAGGACGACATATTAAGAGTATTCATATGTACAGTGAAAGAAAGGTGTAATGCAATTATACACAATAGTGAAGATATAAATACTTCGTTTTTAAATAGTAAAAAAATCTCAAACATTAACGGCAAAAAACAGGTTAGCCGAAACTGAAGGAGCATCCAACGAGAATGAAAGACCAAAATAAGTTGCAACCTCCCATTGTCTGAGCGCCACAGAGAAGCAACAGAGAAAAATCGCGGGTAGTTGAGAGAGAAAAGACCATTTGGGCAGCAGAAGGGATGTAGCGACACTTGCCATCGGCTTGATGTCAATGGTGATCGGAGGCTTGGGGAGATCATGGGAGGCAATGTTTGATAACGAAAAAGATTAGGAGCAGCTGAGAGGTAGCACGCGTCTTCTTGTAGTGGGGATAAAATGTATTACACACTTACCATTGAGATGAACTTAAAAAAGATGATGCCAGAGATCAGCCCAATTGCTGCCACTTGTTTTGGCTGCATCGTTACAAACTTGGTGTCAAAATGGTGGAGCACGAAGCTAACGATGAATATCGCTGTTATGTAGCTTTTCTTTAGAGATACTTCACTGTAAAATCATGCAAATACGCCTTGTGGCCCATCAATATTTCTACAGAAGATACCCCAGTTGGATCACCAGTCGCTATGAGTGTAAAACACTCAACTATTAAACACTGTTAATGTCTCTCAAAAGGACATGTAGACGAAGATAAATGTACCGTGCGATTTTCTAGACTAACGACACCCAGCAATCTCGAAACACTGCGACTGCAGCTACTTTACAAGTTCCTCATTCTGTGCGATTCGGTGTCGTTTCAGAGAAGTGGTCAAACTGGAAACACTGTGCAGGGTGGTGGTCCAGATGTCTTGTGATCACCATTTAATTCTCTACTAAACCGTTATATTGTTGTCAATGAGATGTATTTGAAGCAGAAATGAATATGCAAAGGAAACACATTGTAGGGGTCAATTAATTGGGGGGGGGGGGGGTCACAAGACATCTGAATCACCAGTAGAGTACCGTATTTGAAGCAAGCAAGTACAGTGTTTCGTTAAGAATGTGAGCTGCATACCGTGGAGGTTTTGCATGACTTCCTTCAAAGAAAACAATTTCTTAAAGTTTGTACACATTAAAAAATAACTCAACATGTGCATCAATAACACTGTGGCCGTACATGAAAATACAGTGTCAACAACATAGGTGACGTTTCGGGTAATGAGCCTTCTTCAGAGCCGGATAGAGAGATAAGAGGGGTTGAAAGCTGGAGACTAACAAATAATTATATTTGGCAAATGTTTTAACTTTCCGACTATTCGCGGCAGCTGAAGACGGCCGCGATAACGCCAATTACCAATGCCCCTTTTCCTCTCGTTTATCCGCGATTTGTAGCAAAACATGCGCCGTGATCATAGCAAATGCGCGGGCGACATTTACTTTAATCATGAGATTCAGACACACGCGAATACCCGCACAGAAACCAAGAAAAACACCGACACGAAGACACACAAAGACCGTGAGACACACACACAGACACGGAGTCAGAGAGACACGGAGACACACACAGATACACTTAGAAAGTACTGTACAGTATTCTTCCGGTATTGCTACAGCTGGATGATGCCATGGTGTATTGGTTACAGCACTTGTAATCCAGCGGTCACTGGTTCGATCTCCCGGGCACGACAGGTGAGACAATGGGCAAGTTTCTTAGATCCCCCCACCTGTCATCCCAGCAGTGTAAATGGGTACACCACAGTTAGTCTGTAAGGCAGGTCCTGTGGGAATCATAAATCGTGGGTACTCTAACACATGTCCAGCGTGGAAGATTAGACCAAATGCCCTCTAAAGGGGCTCTTCCAGCAGAAGCGGCATGCACAAGAAATTGCAGGGCTGCTCCTTTACCTTTTATTCTTACAGCGCTATGAACGTCCTTGCAGAAAGCTCTGATCATATTGACCAAAAGCTATGGCGAGATGGAAATTGACAAACGTGTTCTCTTTGGTCGTGAATTTGCAAATTACATGAAAAGTAGCCATCGTGTATTGTGTGATCCTCATAATTTGGTCAAAATGTATTTCTTTTTACATGAACATTTCTGTTTAAAATATCATTGAGAGTGAGCATCATCTACGTAACCTGCTTTTTGGATTAAATTGTGTCTGCTAGTCTTCGTGCTGTTGCTACAGCCTGCACGAAGTAGTTGGTATAACTTGACAATAATGAATGCAGCACGAGAATATGCCCGTGAAATGTCATGGTTGATGTCCCACCTACAACTCTATCTGCCACACAAAAACTCAGTTCCCCACCCGCAATCAGTCTGTAAATTATGGTAAAAAAACATCATCACAGAAAATTAGTGCAGGCTGGGAAACCATACGTTTCAAACAGCAACACAAAAACGTGTTAAAAAAGTGCCCAGTTTTTGTGATTTTTGCAAAAAACATCAGCACTTCCAGAAAATATGGGTTTTAGATATGTGGTTCCCAGACGCAGACTTCGCAGCAGTATTGGTGCTATACTGTAGCGATGAGTCCGAATTAATACAAACCGGTCTACAATTGTCAACTTCTCTATGTCAGTTACTGAACCCAAATTATAATAAATTCCACTATGACCGAGAACAAGAGACCACAATGCACCTTATTTAAGAACTATTGATGTTTTTTTGCATAATAAACAAATTGCTGAGTTTATTTTTTGCATGTATGTGTGTTGTTCCTCACCTGCAGTTGGGGGAGAGTGAGCATGTGTGGGATTTATTAATTTTACACAAACACCCATAGAGACTACACACACTCATGCAGACTGCACTCAAACACAAATATACACACACACAATATTCACACCACAGGTGCCAGTCATCACCAAGTACAATCTGCTCCAAATCCTGTAGTACATGAGCCCATTTCCTCTCTAGCCTGTGCCATGCCCATTTATCCGACTCTTTCTATCGAAATAGGAGTTGTTTGGACATGCAATGGCTGGTCACGCTAAGTGACCGAGCCAGTACATCTTTACCTCCAGAGCAGCTCACTAAAAGGAAAGTTTTCCGAGAGTTCTTCATACAATCCAGTCTAGTTAAACACAGGGCTCATCGTCGACAGGCCAACCTTAATGTTGATAACTGGTGCAGGTATCCATGTAAACGGGCCTACATTTACAAAGTATGGGGAAGAGAGCACATTGCACACACATATCTTACTCATAAGGGTGTTTTGAAAGGCAACACAAGGGCAGGTAGGTAGCCTCGTGGATTTATCTTGGGGAAAGAGAATGAATGCCATCGGATTGGGGACCGAATTCCAGACTCGGTGGCAATTTACTGTTCATATATTTTTCCCTACATTATTGCATGGGTCACACGTGGTGGGTTGTCCCCTTGGCCATCGGTTTCCATAAAATGCTTTACACCCCAATTATTGTTGGGCTCTCCTGGTGTGGTTTTGCACGTGACGTACCACCAATCACTCTTCTACACAAAGCAGACACATCGAAAGGATGTGTCACTTTGGGGGGGGGGGGGGGGGGGTACAGTGTGAACGGGTTGAGAAGCTCATTGAGTGAGCTTTTGGCGTAGTGAGGGTGCTAATAGGTGAATTCAGTCAAAGGAAAACACCTAATTGGGGAATGGCTGATTAACACTGTATTTGCACACTTTTCCAATCACATTTTTTCAATTAAAATCTAACCAGTTACATTTAAAACCTCGAAGTCAAAGTGACATGGATTGTTTGAATGTATTGTCCCTTGCAGATGTATTCAATATTGTGCGTATTCAGTCTCAAATTATTCCCATTAGGTATCATTCTCTTCTTGATTAAAGGAAATATGCAACCCATTTTTGACGAATATCGACCACTTGTTTGAATTTTCCGATGCACACGAGACAGTGGGTCGTGGAAGTGTGGATGCTCTGCCCCTTGAATATGCAAATAATCTGATCATAGAGGATTTTTGGCAAAGGCGGCTATATAAGACCGCTGTTAACGCAGTTCGTGAGTGCGATACACCATGGGAGTGCAGACGACAGAATTTCTGACAGCAGCCAAGGCTTAAAAGAATAAACTGGCCAAGAATGCACAGGAACGTGCGGGAAAAATTGGTGATGATTTCATTTTATCGATTTTATTTGTTGACATGAGTAAGAAACATTTGGCCATAAGTTGTTTTACATGATGCGTGGAGGATCTTGGTGGAATAAAAAAATAAATACAGCAGATGAACATTGCACACACGGAGTAGCAAACACATTCAAGGCAAGCAACATTTAAGTCATGCACCATTCACGTAACACTGGCAGGAAATATGCGTTAAATCGGAAGCATCAAGGCACGCGAAGTCCGTTAACCACTATTGCAGATATGAATGACATCAGAAATATAATCCCATATCAAGGTATTGCAAGAAAGTGCGGAAAACGGGAATCACTTAGCCAGGGTGATAGCTACAGTGAGACACTGCAGTATGAACGAGTTTATAGCAGTGGTAGTGCTAACATGAGAATATGACACAGAAACGCAGATTCATGAGCCAGTGTTTATTTATGGCAACCATCAATCAATCAATTTGCGTATACAGAATCTTGCAGAATTATGATATATTTAACCCTCAATATTACGTTCAGGTATTTTCTATTAACTTACATTGTAAATTGATTTGATAGTCGTGTAGTCGTAAATATATTATCGAGGATAGAGCTCTCTAGATGTGTGTGCTGTGGATGATTTATAGCAGTGGCGGGTCGTGACATTTCCATTAGGTGGGGCTGCTGTGAGTGACCTCTGAAAAGCTGGTGTTCTAATTAAGAAAATCCTCATCATGTTATTGGCCTTCCCATGAAAGTATTGCTAATAAATGCCTACCAACGATAGGCATTTATTAGCAATACGAAACAAAACAACAAAGCACTCAAATGTTGTCCCCATGACCCTGAAGTCCACACTGCACAACCCCTTTGACACTGCCAAAAGCCGTGACCTGCTATTTGCATAGTGCACCCTAACGTTGTGACATAGTAATTACAACCATGGGCGCCTTTTTCACCGCCTTGAATGGGTTTCAAACGGCGTGGCTAAAATGCGAAGCTAATCGCAATAACAGCCGCCCTGAGACTTCTCCGAGGCACAAATAACACTGTTGCAGCGGTTTCTATATTTACAACTTAAAATGTTATCTTCATTAAGTAATTCACGTTGAAAGAATCATTACATTTTTATCCACCCCTGAAAGGTGGATACAACAAAATTATTAGCTCTATGCTTCTAACCGTAATGGAAAACATTTGTAACTCTCGTAAAGATTATGCACCCGAGTCCACTTCTGCCGACGCCAATGCGCCCTCTATCGCGTTCTCTCTGTTCATCCCTTACTCAGCGGGCCCTTGTACCACAATTCATTCGTACAGCACAATGGGTTGGACCCGTTACATTTATAATTACATATCTAATACTAATTCACAAAATAAACAGCTATACAGTAGTGAAGGAAACTTCACTCCAGCCATCCATGGAACTGACAGGGTCAGCAAGTGGTCATAGTGCTTGCTGTCACTGATACTAATTCATGGTCAAAGGCTGTATCACGTTATTTGCCTGATGTCAGGTTTCAGAGACTGAGATATTATTTCTGGGGGTTACTTTCCCATATATCGTGTTTCAAATATATGAATAATAATCACAAACTGGTAACACATATTGCTTAATTCCCACATAAAAGTAAGATATTTTATATACAATAACAATTGCTGATCGAGAATGGATGCTTAACAGTTGAGCAACGAGCCAGCAATTTTCAGGGCTGCTTTCAAGACCAAAGGCTCAGACAAATGAATATAACTTTGCACCAATCAAGTATGCATGCAGTGTAAACGTACACGACACAATGTAGAAAATTATGCTGAGTTCATCTGCAACGGAAAATGTGGAAATTGTACCTTGTCGCAGCATATGAGAAAGGGATCCACAGTAAGTTAATCGGCCCAGAAACGATGTTGTGTAGAGTGGCACCGTGGCACTGATGTGTGGGTGTGCAGTGCAACTGATTTGCACAATGTGGAAATACAGTACAACTATTGTTATTTGTAACCGTCTTATCTATGCAGTTAGACATATTTGTCATTCGTGCCTTCAAATTGGCAGTTTCTATTAACTGCAATTTTGCCGATTATAAGAGGGTGGGTGGACCAGCAGATGGGTGAAAACTTTTATATTATCTGTGAAATCCACATATATGTGAAAAGCCATGGACTGTGCTGCAGACCAATTACAGTCCAAAGCAAGAGAACATCGTGCCATTCGGAAATTGCAAATAGTACCCCTTCCTATAATGCAAATTTAACTGGCTGGCAAGGCTCAGCTTGTCCATTATGGTTACATGGGTGTCTTTGATAATCAGATAATTGGAAAAAAATATTTGAATGTTGAAACATCTGAAGACGGAATGACTACGTTTGGAGAAGTATATTTCATGTAACATCTTTTCTTACATTTTGATTTAAAGCTTTCGTGACTGCAGTAATTCATATTCTTAGTTTTTTCGGTAAAGTCACGTTGAAGAGAAACAACAACGTGACTTTACCGAAAAAACTAAGAATATCTTTTCTTACCTTTAATTCTTTAGATAAAGGTTATCAGTGCATGTGATAGAGAAAACAATATTACCTGTGATATCCATGTTAAATAACTAAGAGGAGCTGCATGGCAATTTGATCCTGTTTATTCTCCACGGATAAATTATGAAACCTATATCCAATTTAATCGTTGTTAACAGGCTCAATAGTGAGGACCCCAGACCACACCCATAGGGCAACATGCAGGGGTTCAGAGAAGTGGGCATAAAATGTGTGTAGATGCTCATTGTTGTCAGCATTGTAAAATAACAGAACCCGTTTATCATAGTCCAAGCCAACACCGATTCTGCGAGGATGTTCACCCACTTCCATCTCCGTGCTATGCTGGTCGTGCCAGGCCTTGTATTTGTTCTCGTGTTTCCATAAACACCAGGACCTGCTGTTAAATCCCATCAGGCATGCACTGTCTTTTTCTTTACGTAGAATACTCTGGTAAGAGACACCAACACGAAGGTTGTCTGCGTCCCCCACATTCACCACCCAGAAGTGGCATCCTTCAGAGAAACTCCCAAAGGACAGCACCTGTGACCAGTATTTGAACCGATCTGGGTGATCGGGTTTTTTTGGAGGGCTCTTGAGCCATTCCGCTGTCTTCCCATCATCTGAGATGTTAAGTTCTTCATGTGCAGTGTTTGGATTAAGAGTTGGAGAGCATTTTACTGCAATGAAACGAGTGAAACATGTGAACAGACATTCACAACCAGAGTTCAGTTAATGAATCCCAGATTTATAACGCCCCGTATTCAGCAAGAAAAAAAATAGATGGAAGCATAAATTATATTATATTGCTATTGAAACTATTACTTCATGTGTCTGTACTTAACAATACGATTGCCTCAGTTTTTATGTAAAAACTAGTTTTCAAATACTAATTTACCTGTAATGCATATTAAAACCATACCTAGCAGAAAATAACGTGACTTAAAATGTAACCTATGCAAAACAGTTATTTTCATCCTTTCGTATTGATATCCATGATTAACGAAGAAAAGTCTCACAATGAGGCCCATTTGCCCATCAGATCCCACATACCGGCAGAGTCAAGCAGGGTCTGCAGCTGCGTTTGCTTGTTCTGTCCTGCACGGATCATCTCCAGGAGCCCCTGGCACTTCTCCTCACCCTCACGAATAAAGTATTTCAGTATAAAGATTGCACGTGCTGAGATGTCAGTAATTTCATAAACCTTCCAGTACACGCTTACGTGAATGTTGTATTTTTTATCCATCTCGTACATGAAATAGAACGTGTTTTCAGAGATGGATTTATACACTTCTGGCAGCAAGTCATGGAACTGCTGCCAAACTTCAGCATTATTGGACCTCATTCTCTTCTCGATTTGCATTCGTGGTTCCTGTCCACACGGGAAAGAAGCCACAATGGGAATTGTTTAATGGTATTTCTATGGTTGTAGATTTTACTCTTGCATTATTTGACATCATTCCTCCAGAGTTGCTAAAATAGAGTGTTACATATTGTGTGCGAATTATTGACACACTTACATCTCTCTAAAAGGATAAATGACCCTGCCATTGGAATCTGGAATTTCCTCTAATGGTTTAGGACTACCCAATGCATTGAGCTTTATTTGTCCAGGATCCCACAATTGTTATAAAGGTGATAACTGACTTTCAAAAGATATCATTTTACAGTTTCACTGCTTACTATACATCTTCCTTTGATAGTTTTCAGTTCTCCAGTGCCAATACTGTATGAATGTATGTATCTACAGCAAGATGCATGCTTATAGTGATTCTGATTAGAGCTAAGATATCCAGTTATTTTGTGGAATATATTATATTTGTTTCGGAGTACTCTGCCAGTTATTGGATTGATTATGTGATGAATTGGCTTATGCAAATAAAAGTTGGAAACACATCTCACCTCTGGTCCCATATTTGCTGTTGGGTGGGGAGTGACGTAGGAGCTTGGTGATGTACATTGCATCATCAGCCACGTCACAGAGTGGAGCTTGTATGGAAATTTACAGTAAGCGTGGAACATTGGTCCAACGGTCCATCCACATGTCAACGTTGGCTCAACATTGAATGTATACTGGGTTCCCATCTTTGGGAGGCATTAAGTGGGGCAGTTGCCAGTTTTAAATGGCCAGAGTAATTGACCACAACAACGTAGTCAATAAAAAATTATAGTTAATGGATCAATTTAATTGATTCATCATTCCAGCTATAGCTGCGATTGAATGTGTGACATGGGAGGTTGTGTTGTATGAGTAAATGTAGTTTTTAAGACAGAAAATATATTGCGATTGGCAATACATTCGTATTGGATAAGGATCTGTATTCATAGCTTCAATACCACAGCATCTTAAAGCAACTTAAAAATGCAGTGAAATGCAAAACAGTGAAAATAGAGCAAAAGACAGTAAGAAAAAGAGATCAAAATTATACAAAAGATCCATGGCCGAGGAACATGACAAACAGTGACCACAGCAAGTACAATCGGGCAACATTCAGACAACAGAGTCCCAGCACCAGCAGAGTCCCAGGGAAGTCTTGAAAAACATGATGGGAAATACTTCGGCTAACCCTCTAAGACCCTACCAAATCACCACCACAAACCACAACGCCACACCAAAAGTAGGTGTAAGATAGTTCTGGGAGAGTCTACACGCCACATTTAAACAGTGGCAAGCTCCACAAGAGTACACAAGTTCCTGTGATACAATGTCATGGCAGCCAGCCCCCAGCAGATGCTGCTTGATTTACCTCAAGGACATCCTTGGGCACTTTCACACTAAGAAGAGGCACAGTCTCCGTCACTTTGCCAGAATAATCTGTTCCCGTACAAGAAGACAACATGACACATGTCCACTCAGTAGCATCTACTGAAAGCATTGCTAATGATGATTCTGGGAGCACAATGTATGCGTTATGCTGTTATGACTATGGTATTATGGGAGTGTGTCTAAAAGTTAACCTGCTCTGTTCATAGTAAACTTCAAAACGTGGAGTAAAAACGATTGCAAGGCACGTGATCATAGTGACGGTACAGGTGTGAGATTATAGGATGGTGTTATCAGTCATTAGATGTGCACTGAAACAATTGTACAGCAATTATTTTGCTATATTAATTCATCTGCTGTGCATGATGCAAGCTCTCATTAGCAACCAAATATTCTGACTAAAACATACTGTTTCTGATATCTTGACTAACATTTATTTAAGTTAGATTTTGTTTTTAAATGTACCATTATTAGCAATGTGGAAAATCTCCAACGTAATGTGTGTCAGCTGTTTCATGAAGATGGAATTCTGGTCCTAAATGTGAAGCAGATGTTTGGATCCATAATACAGCTTTTTTGGATTAGATCGCGTAAATATAAATGCGTCGTTATACCCGCCACCACCCGACAGCCAATTGGTAAAGTTTGTTACGTAAACAAAACATGCCAATTCGTTACTAGTGCAGCACATCGGAGTGGTGGAGAGTAAATCCACAACATTTACAATCTGAGTACGACGTTTCGGCAATAATGACAACTAGCTTCATGAGGTGACAGCCAGATTTGTGGGGATATCCTCCTGTTTCGTTCTTAAATAGAGGAATAGATGTGATGTCTTCACTTGTGAGCCTCTCGCTTGCGAAGGCCAGAAATGCATATACATTATAATGGGTATGCATTGCTGGTTGGATTATTCATATGTTAATCAACGCACATTATGCATGCACATTGTTCTTGTACATCCTGTCGTTTGTGTGCACGAAAATAACATTAAATGTTATTATCTGCTTACAGGAAATCCCCATCGACTTATGGTGACCTGTATAGGCATGCAGTTAAACAGTGTATTACATGGATGACAGTATCAATGTACATTAATGTTTGTAGAGTAACACGTTTTATTTCGTATGGGTGGAAGCTGATCAGCTAAATTTATGTCGTGATTGCTGAACCAGTGAACGGTTGCTGGAAGAGTCTGATGATTATCTGAAATTCTACAAGTGAATTTTAAAAGCGGGTAGTGCCAGACTCCAAGGTTTGAGATTGTGTCTGCTATCACACTGTGTGCTATTTTTTATTTTCAGTGCATAATATAGCCACATCTGCCGTGCGATGTTCTGGTTCAGATAAATACAGCCCATTTTGTGCAGGGCAAATTGTATTTGGTAGTTTTTTCCGTGAACTCTGTGATTCTGTGCTGGTTAGGGACTTTGGCAGTGTTGCAGGTGACTCAACTCCCGAGACTCAAGTTGAATGAGGGCACTTTGAGAGCTTATGCTCGATCTCACAGTGGGTTCCAGGATATTAATCTAGACTTTCTGAGGTTCTGAAGGTCCTAATGAATTGTTAAGTTTGGCGTGGCCATAAAGCATTTATAGTTGTGGGGTGTTTTTGTGTCTTTGAAATATTTAGGTAGATGTTTGGTGACATTTTGTTGACGTTCGTTACGTTGAAGAGTAGTGTGCAGCACGAACAAAGAAAACATTGAAACAAATCAACACAATACAATTATTATATATACATAGTGGTGTCTATATTGAGATGCATCACATTCATAATTGTTGACTGGAAACTCAAGTTAATAGTTTGCATTATTCAAATGCTGCGCAATAACATTATAATAAGCAGGGGTACTGCAGAGTCTTATCTTGGACATTGCCCATTTTCCTTCAAGTTTTTTGTGATGGTGATGTGCTTTGGAAAATCTTCCAATTAATCTACAGCCCTTATTAGTTGTCTCATGAATCACGGATGGGCCACTCATGAAGCATTGGTCTCGTTATTAAACAATGCAAATTACGTAAAATGCTGTAATGTTTCTTACCAAAGGGGTATAAGCATTTCTTCTTCCGATAAATCAATAAGACCACCACCACCACCAAAATAATGAAGGTCCCAATTACAGCAGGAATTGTAATGTTTTTTTCTGCAGGTAGAAAATGGCAGAGAACAAAATTCAGCATGCATATTTTTTGACATATACAATTCATTGCTAAGACTACTGATTATCACCCTCTGAAATAATGTTACATCGACACCAGTGCCTATGCTTTTATATCAGTGCATAAACCAATTTACACTTGGGAGCATCCCCGAAACTTGGGGACGGTTTATACTTTCAGAGTCTCATCAGCAGTGTGGCCAATTCAACAAATTCCTGGCAGCGAGATGTTGTAGGCAAGAGCTTTCCACAAACATTGTGACGACTGGTCAGTGCCACACTAAATTTGCTTTGCTGTAGGGATCTGTTTAATGAAGTAAATATGCACAATGAAGCCTGATGGATCAAAGTATATATTAATTTTAACATGCTGTGGTGGGCAATAGGGGACAATGTGCAAAATTCGTTGTTGTCGCGTGAATCTATGCAACCCCTCTTCAGCAACCTCCACTCACTAAAGTTGTGCAATTTAGCTAAATAACACCCATAATCCATATCTATAAATGTATGTTGAAGTTATTTCACACTGCACATACCCAACCGTGCGAATCGGAGTTGCGCGGGAAGGACAACAAACTTAGCATGAAAATCAGTTCTAAAGAAATAAGTTTTCATTCTCGATGTTAATGTGCATAGATCCAGTGGCTTCCTAATATCGAAAGGAAGAGCGTTCCAGACGGCCGCACAAGCACATCTGAAAGCTCGTGATGCAGTGACCGACTTTGCTCGATGGCTCGCTAAAAGCCACTGCGATGATGACCAGAGTTTGTGTGATGGTTTATGCTCCTTGAGATCAGCAAGGCATTGTGGTTAATTTGTGGCAAGCACTCTGTGTGTAATAAGTGCGACCTTATAATCTATTCGTTTGGCAACCGGACGCCAATGCAGCTCGGCGAGCACCGGACGAACATGATCAGATCTTGCAGTACCCGTCACGATACATGCCAAATAATTTTGTACACGCTGCAGCTTGGTAATGTTTTTTGCGAGACGTCTCGTAGAGTAGTGAGTTAGAATATTCGAGCCCTGTCCATACTATGCTACACGCCACCGTGTTGGCTAGGTCACGACTCAATGTTGGTCGAATGTGTCGTAGAGCCCAGATCTGAATTTTTTACAGGACTTCATCCAGCAGTGAATTGACAAAAAACATTTGTACTGTACAAGATAATTATGGTTTCGTTTGTTGATTTCAAACAATCCACAAACAAATACGAAAACATATTTTTACATATTCTTAGTTTTTTCGGTAAAGTCACGTTGAAGAGAAACAACAAAATAATAAAATATATATAAAACAATAAAAAAAATTCTCACGACGTTTCGACCATAACTCAAACGGTCGTCTTCAGGTGTGTTGGTTCGCATAAATTTATTTTTAAACGGCGCATTTATTTATTTATAAAAAAAACGTTAGCGCCACGCGCAACGATTTGGCAGTTTACCCAGGACTAGTCCATCTATATTCTGAAAAGAGGAGGGGGGAGACGAAATTTTTTATAATGTATGCTGTCTGAGAGCCACTGTAAGCGTGAACAATCAATTAAGACCTGAAATGGTTTATCAAATCTTTCCAATGATTGCTAAGATAGAATCCATCTTCTCGGTTGAAATTGTCTCTGTGCTTGTATATGTGGATAGCCTCATGAACGAATCTCTCATTGAAGCCAGATGGCTTACAAAGAACCTCTGTCTTGGAAAAGTCAATGGCATGTGAGCCTACTGAATTAGAACAATGATCTGCCACGGCCGAGGTGTTGGTCCTACTGTGTTTAAGGTCTGCTTTGTGTTCACGAATGCGGTCCGAGACATGGCGTTTGGTTTCTCCAATGTAACTACTACCACAGAGGCAACTTAGTTTGTAGACACCAGGGTATTGTATGTCCGGAATCACATCTTTTACAGACGGAACCAGATCACGGATTTTATGTAATGTGTTGAAACGGACCTGGATCTTGTGTTTATTCAAGATTTTGGAGATCTTTTTTGTGATCCCAGCAATGTAGGGTAAAGTGATGGTTTTGAAAGGCTCCTCAAGAGGGTTCTTCTTCATGGTTTGAGTGATAGCTTTGCGGATTGTATAGTCGTAGTAATCATTAGCCCTAAGAGCTTGGTGTACATGCTTGAGTTCACTGCTTATGTGTTCCTGGTTGGATATGCATTGGGCTCATTGCCACTCTACGCCCAACCTTATGGAAGAGGTACGTGGATGACACTTTTGTCATCTGGCCACATGGCCGGCCTGCTCTAGACCAATTCTTCGACCACATCAATTCCATACACCCAGCCATCAGATTTACCATGGAAGTCGAAATAGATGGCAAGATAACTTTTTTGAATGTCCTAATTAAAAGAGACCTGATGGTTCAATGAGCCACTCTGTCTACAGGAAAGCTACCCATACGGATGCTTATCTGAAACCGGATTCCCACCACCATCCATCACAGAAGAATTCTCTCATCAAGACTCTGTATCATAGAGCCCAATGCATATCCGACCAGGAACACATAAGCAGTGAACTCAAGCACGTACACCAAGCTCTTAGGGCTAATGGTTACTCCGACTATACAATCCGCAAAGCTATCACTCAAACCATGAAGAAGAACCCTCTTGAGGAGCCTTTCAAAACCATCACTTTACCCTACATTGCTGGGATCACAAAAAAGATCTCCAAAATCTTGAATAAACACAAGATCCAGGTCCGTTTCAACACATTACATAAAATCCGTGATCTGGTTCCATCTGTAAAAGATGTGATTCCGGACATACAATACCCTGGTGTCTACAAACTAAGTTGCCTCTGTGGTAGTAGTTACATTGGAGAAACCAAACGCCATGTCTCGGACCGCATTCGTGAACACAAAGCAGACCTTAAACACGGTAGGACCAACACCTCGGCCGTGGCAGATCATTGTTCTAATTCAGTAGGCTCACATGCCATTGACTTTTCCAAGACAGAGGTTCTTTGTAAGCCATCTGGCTTCCATGAGAGATTCGTTCATGAGGCTATCCACATATACAAGCACAGAGACAATTTCAACCGAGAAGATGGATTCTATCTTAGCAATCATTGGAAAGATTTGATAAACCATTTCAGGTCTTAATTGATTGTTCACGCTTATAGTGGCTCTCAGACAGCATACATTATAAAAAATTTCGTCTCCCCCCTCCTCTTTTCAGAATATAGATGGACTAGTCCTGGGTAAACTGCCAAATCGTTGCGCGTGGCGCTAACGTTTTTTTTATAAATAAATAAATGCGCCGTTTAAAAATACATTTATGCGAACCAACACACCTGAAGACGACCGTTTGAGTTATGGTCGAAACGTCGTGAGAATTTTTTATTGTTTTATATATATTTTATTATTTTGTTGTTTCTCTTCAACGTGACTTTACCGAAAAAACTAAGAATATGAATTACTGCAGTCACAAAAGCTTTAAATCATATTTTTACAATTGTGCAAAAACACAAAAGAACCAGATTTTAACTCCAATGGGATCTTCAGAGTGGTGCCTTGCAGTGTGAAAAAAACTGTATTTGATTTTTCAGGTGGTACGGTCAAGTAATTAAATTAATATCTATGTAGCCATAATATTCGGAATGTTTTACTCGCGCTGAGCTGTTTTGAGAAACTGCATGGATTGTATGAACTGCAAAATTCAAGTTGCAATTAGTATCACCTCCAAGCCATCCACCTGCAACCATTTGCGCTTGGGGTAGATAATCAATAATCTGGGCTATGCTGGCTCATTATTATGACATAAACATCGCTTTAGCACTTTGTAAGAAAATCAACCTGTTTAATTCTTGAAGCACAGTAGATTGACATAGAAATGGGGGTGCAAAGGTGGTGCAGTAGTTTGCGCAATGTTCCATGATCCTGGCAATGTGAGTTTGTGACCAGCCACGGCTAGCATCACTGGCATCTGAACTGGTCCTGTCCAGATCCTCCCCTCTTCACCCACTCACACGAACCAGCGTGGAGACGTACGGTCAAACAATGCACACAACTGAAACGGCATGGTTGAGTCTTTATCTAACACCCGTTTGACAAAGGGCTTCACTACATTGCTGTCTTTGAGTACATATTCAGAAATTCTGATCGCAATAGATAGTCGCGTGTTATAAAATAAATAATGTCTTGACATCTTTGTCTCGGTTTTTTCCACCTGTTGTCATTCTGACGAATTGTCCTCCGATTCTTTCTCTTTCCTCTATCTGAATGAATAGCAACTTACAAATCTACGTCTAAATTAATTACGTATGAAAAGCCTTCAGTTGATGAGTGGTGGGTTTCTTTAAAGCATGTTTTGCATTTTTGGAGGTCAGTGGTTCACTATATGATCTACGTTTCTGCAATTGCATGCCATGGTCTTCAATTTGTACTTGTGAAAGTAGTAGTGCTGATCTACCATGATTTACATTCTTCTGTTTAAATGTAAACTATTGTTTTTTAAGGTAGATTGAATATATTTTTAGTGGGATCAGCAATCCGATGCGTCTAAATCATATTAGTGTTCACACAAATATTTCGCCATTTCTCTAATGTGCTGAAGCTCAAATATAAAGACTTTGACTTGCACGATCTCAAGCAGTAGTTTAATATAATTCTTGAGCTTCTTAGATGGGCAGGTTAGGATTGATTAAATGCAGCTGTAATCATGAATATATATTTGCTGTTTGCAGACATCTATAAGAGACATGTTCTATAGCACAGAGAGGCAGAGTAAAATAGTTAACTTTATTTTGCTGGTGACAATCCTCATTGTAATTTTTAATATGTTCGTTGGTGTGGTACCTCTCAGCCCAAAGAGGAGCGCAGAGTGTTGTGCAAAGTATACTTGTGTGTGCATGTCTGATTCACAACTAGCGTGATATCAGTCAGCACAACTCAATATAACTGCGTCATCGACAGTCGTCTTGATATCCAGAATTGCATGTGACAACAATGGCATGGGTCAACTTGTGCAGTGGAAAAGTATCTCATGCCTCTTCAGAATCACCACGCTGCCATGGCATGGCCCCAGCATGGCTCGGATGTGCAAATATAAAACAGGTATAAGATGAATGTGTAGTGTAAGCACATCTGCTCTCCAACTATTGTCTGTAAGTTTCTGGATAAGGTTACATTTTTTTCATCAATCTTCAATGGTAGATCTGGTTTCGATCAACAGTACCCCCAAAATATTTTAGGAATGGCTGATTCTAGACTTCCTTGCTGCAAAATAGACATTTGGTTCAGCAATTACTAGCTCATTGTTCCAATGGAATGCTGTAGCCATGGTCTTGTATGGAGTTGCCAATGTCTGAAATATTCACGGTTAGGTCCTTGGTGAAGGAAGAGACTTCACACATGTGTAGTAAGAAAAAAACATCATGTGTATACATTTCTCCGATGTGTGTGGCATGTCAGTTAATAAATGCATAATGATGGGACAAATACGAAGCTCTGCCTGGTACCTTAATACTCGAAACAGCCCTACTGACAAGATTTCAATGACGTCCAAGATGTGTAAATTCTTTACCATTTGCAAGTTTGTGCATTTCCTGATGCCAATCGCTCTTAAATGAATATCTTGGTATCAGAGGCGATAGAGACGAATATGACATTTCTCACCTGTGTTTGATGTAACTCCACAAGGCTGTGAAGGATGAGGCCGACTGTATCCATCCTTACACTGACACACAGTGTCACTCGTGACAGTACAGTCCTGTTGAACATCTTCATCTACACATCAGAGAACAAAAGGAAACTTAGTTTAATTGCAGTACTGTACTGTTTCTTCTTTGGTTCTTTCGGTAAAGTCACGTAGAATGAGAATAAAATAATACATTGATAATATAAAATAACACAATGATATTCTCACGACGTTTCGGCCACAACACAAGCGGCCTTCATCAGGTGAAGGGGACGAGACTGTCTGGAGGACAGCGCTGGAGTGAGAAAGCCACGCTGAGATCACGACCTTTAAGCTGTGTGAGAAGAAACAAAGCGCCTTGACAAAGGAATTAGCATATAATTTAGCATTGAAATGGCTGAGTGATTAGCTTGTGACTGGTCACAGAAAAGGCTATGTTAAAGTTAAAGCATACACATCCGCAAAGGCACCCCTTGACAAAGGAATTAGCATAGAATTTAGCATTGAAATAGCTAAGTTAAAGTATACACATCCGCAGAGGCACTCCTTGACAAAGGAATTAGCATAGAATTTAGCATTGAAATGGCTGAATGATTAGCTTGTAACTGGTCACAGAAATAGCTATGTTAAAGTCAGAGCATATACATTCACCGAAGCACCTAGTACAAATCAAACAGGATAATTTAGCATTGAAATAACTAGGCGAATTTAGCATTGAAATATCTGAGTGATTAGCTTGTACATAAAATCCGTGATCTAGTTCCATCTGTAAAAGATGCTGTTCCAGACATACAGTACCCGGGCGTTTACAAACTAAAGTGCCTCTGTGGTAGTAGCTACATTGGAGAAACCAAACGACATATCTCGGACCGCATCCGCGAACATAAAGCAGACTTGAAACACGGTAGAACGAACTCCTCTGCCGTGGCAGATCATTGTTATAATTCAGTGGGCTCACATGACATTGACTTCTCCAAGACGGAGGTTCTTTGCAAACCAACCGGCTACCATGAGAGATTCGTTCATGAGGCCATTCACATATACAAGCACAGAGACAATTTCAACCGAGAAGATGAATTCTGGCTTAGTAACCATTGGAAAAATGTTTTAAACCATTTCCGTTCTTAATAAATTGTATTTTACGATGACCTTCAGACCGCAGCTCTTTCGCTGGCATTGACTCTTAATACCTCTCACACCACGGTTAATGGTATGGTTTACAACATGGAGTATAACAGCGACTCGCAGCTGTCTCTCTCCCCCTCCTCTGTTCCGACCATGGATGAACTCGTCCGTCTGAACGGGACCCGTAGCTATCCGTGTTGCTAAAGTTGAGAGTAAGAATCCACCCATTTTTCTCCATATAGCATTGTGATATATAAGGACTTATTGTTGGTAGCTTAGCTGATTGGAGAATATAGAGTTTATTGATAACATTGAGGTAATTTATATTTTAGTATTTTTTATTGGTTCACTATATAGTATTCATTATATATTGTATTGTATACCCAGTTACTGTGAATAGCTCAGATGTGTAGGCCTTAACTTCAACATAGCCATTTCTGTGACCAATCACAAGCTAACCACTCAGTTATTTCAGTGCTAAATTCGCCTAGTTATTTCAATGCTAAATTATCCTGTTTGATTTGTACTAGGTGCCTCGGTGAATGTATATGCTCTGACTTTAAACATAGCTATTTCTGTGACCAGTTACAAGCTAATCACTCAGCCATTTCAATGCTGAATTCTATGCTAATTCCTTTGTCAATGAGTGCCTCTGCGGATGTGTATACTTTAACTTAGCTATTTCAATGCTAAATTCTATGCTAATTCCTTTGTCAAGGGGTGTCTTTGCGGATGTGTATGCTTTAACTTTAACATAGCCTTTTCTGTGACCAGTCACAAGCTAATCACTCAGCCATTTCAATGCTAAATTATATGCTAATTCCTTTGTCAAGGCGCTTTGTTTCTTCTCACACAGCTTAAAGGTCGTGATCTCAGCGTGGCTTTCTCACTCCAGTGCTGTCCTCCAGACAGACTCGTCCCCTTCACCTGATGAAGGCCGCTTGTGTTGTGGCCGAAACGTCGTGAGAATATTATTGCGTTATTTTATTTTATCAATGTATTATTTTATTCTCATTCTACGTGACTTTACCGAAAGAACCAAAGAAGATGAATCCTTGCAGTCACGAAAGCTTTAAATCGAAATTTATACTGTACTGTTTGTTTAATGTATAAAATGTTGGTCTTGGCAATATGTCCCAAGTAGCTATAACTTTAGCATAGTGTACATTACAATTTGGAAATACGATGGAACTTGTATAATATTTGATGGCTGTGGAGAACAGGGTAATTGATAAACGAATCTTTGTTGTAATTTGCTTATCCACCCCTCCTAGACATCTGTGAAAAGGAACTTCAAAGCTTATCGGATTCCTTCAGTGGAAATGAAGATTCTGATTCGAATGTATGGATGAGCGGAGCTATTATTTGATCATTATAATCACAGTGGGTCACATTTACCTGTAGCATGGCATTCGATAATACATGCCTCACCGCAGGTCAACTCAAACAATAATCGCAATTATAATAACATTGTCGCGATGAGGTGACTTTATCTGCATCACATGGCGATGTGTGTATAAGAAAAAAAGACTATAAAAATAATTTATCCGGGTGACATTGCCTGTAATCTGCCAGCATTTCATTGTCTTAATGGAGATAGTGGCTTAGTAGATGCTGCCATGGACCCTATTGACTGATATTCTGGACATTTTAGGTGAGTTGTGACTAACAAGGACATTTTCGATTTAAAGCTTTCGTGACTGCAATGATTCATCTTCTTTGGTTCTTTCGGTAAAGTCAGTCTCGTCCCTTCACCCGATGAAGGCCGCTTGTGTTGTGGCCGAAACGTCGTGAGAATATTATTGTGTTATTTTATTTTATCAATTTATTATTTTATTCTCATTCTACGTGACTTTACCGAAAGAACCAAAGAAGATAACAAGGACATATGAATCTCAACTCTAAAATAGGAAGTGGTAAGGCTTCCAGTGACGTCATCTGTGTATATGATTTCTCTCTCACGATTCATGTGCGTGTGTTAATCCTTCTTTAATTGTAAAATTTTAGCTTTTTGTATTATTAAATAATTTTCCTGTTCTTAGACAATCCTACATTACCAACTTATGATACATTTCCACTTTGTGTATTGCCTTTTCAATTGCTGCAACTTCTGGAGATAATTGGTGTAAAACTCGACAGGCCATCTTGTCGCCATGCTGGCCCGCCGTGCAACCGGAAAGTGCCAGCTCCAACTGCCTGTGCCATCATCAGTCTTCTTCATTCGAGCAGCTTGATATCTTGACAGACATATTTTTTACTATTTAAGATGGAGGACCTTTCTCATGAATTTAGTGATATGATGGTCATATGTAGCAACAAGATGGATACCACCCTGCTCAAGTTGAGATTAAATATCAGCTCCAAGATTAGAGCCCACTGTCTGCACATTTCTTCAAACTCCAACCCCAGCCAATTGTGGAGTAAAGCGAGTCCCACTTGGAGTGCTGTGACTCCAAGAAATAACTTCAGATTGTTTTGCTCAGCCCACCTTTCTCATGAATCGACCCTTGTCATCTATGGTCCATTCACAGATGGAATCTTGGGTGCAGCCTATCAAGCAATATGGTTTCAACCAATCTCGGATTTCACAGACCTTGATATTCTTATTACAATGTTTTACCACCACAATACACTTTCTAACGAATTGCAAGGTGATCCAACGCACTTTCTCATCGATTTATTTGTTTTAATTAACATAGAGTGATTTTTGCTGTGGTTTTCACACCTGATGATGATTGCTAGTGTTGCAGTCGAAACGTCGTGAGAATTTTATTTTTTTATATTTTTATTGTTTCCCTTCTACGTGACTTTACCGAGAATATAGAGTAATTTATTAACTTTGTATGCATGCATCTCCACATTCAGATGACATACACACATACAACCTACTGATGTGGAACTCTTACAGAGAATATTGCAGGTGCTGCACTTTTTGCATTGAGGATCACGGTTTGCAATGTCCATGTAGCTCTTCCCTGGCATGCAAGATGTGCAGAAAGATTGGTCGCCATCGGAAAAGCAGTCATCAAGCCACATGTCTCCTGTAAAATGGACAAGTTAAAGTAATTATTGGGTCCGAAAATAACGTGTTTGATTAAATATTACATCTCAATACGTTTTACTACAAACACGTTATTCAATCTTTATGCATTTCTAATTGATTATGTTTATCCAAAACATCCATTTCTGCCTTTTAATGTGACGCTATGGTCTACTGTAGTAAATTATGTCACAGGGTATTTCATTTGAGCAAAGAAAAAAGGCATGTCAGATTTGTTTTGCTTTTTACTAGGTAAGGCCCACTAAGCTATTTTTCAGAAGCGACCTGGCCACAAATGATATTTTATCGTACGGACATTTATAGCAGCCAAATACAGCTGAGTACTGAACAGCTGATTCAAAATAACCTCGCCCATTGGTAATGGTGATCAACTTTGGCCTTCCCAGCTATATTCATGCTCTGATGCAAGCATTGTCGTAATTTAACGTGTGGTATTCTTTGCAAATACAATCATCAATCGCTTATATTGTCTACATGAAAAACACACACTCTACAAACTAACATTTGACCGCATAGGGCAGTGGATGCATTGTTAGTCACAATGTGTTACTGCTTTGCTTGGTTACCTGCAGAACAGAGGTGGCAGCAAAACCCTTTCACTGCTCTGTATTGTCCTTTATCTTCGCATTCATTATACTCAACCTTAACATGAAAGTAAAGTAGAACAAGAGTCAAGGCACAGCTACGTGTAAGCACCAATGACTCAATAATACAGGTAACTATTCACTCTACTCCATATCCCCTGCGATTCTACGTATTATCGTGATTCAAGATCAATTCAATATATTTTTGTCTTGCCTGTTAAGCCTCGTTTCTACTGTCTACATGTACTGTCTGCTTCGCACTGTGTATCGTTTGTCTGTACTGTATGCCTACATTTTCCAGTCTCATTTCGTTCTATTACTCTGAAGGAAAAACTAATAAAATAATGTATTACTAAATAATAATATATTCGACTTAAAAAATGTAAAGTTAAGAATGAAAAAAACGACTAATTGTTAATACCTGCTCCTGACCATCAAACCCATATTAATTTGCCATCTGTCCAGTTAACACTGATATCGAAAATACGAGCATTGTTTGCATTTAGGAATGACATAATTCCTATCTCCTGATACCGAGGGGAGATGGGTGAGGACTCTGACACGTGCAGGTGCTACGGCTGTGCTGGATAGCCAGTCCAGATCGCCCTACATCAGTGTTCTTCATTGCAAGGCCCGCGGGCCACTAGCGGCACCTGGTGGCCTTTAGTGCGCCCCCTGACATGCGGCCCCCGAAAATACACAAATTTGAAAACACTCCCCATCATCGTGCTGTCAAACCCAATGGTTTCAAATGTGTGGAAGCCCTCATACTAATTATGTCTTATCGGCGAAAGTTGCCCCTCTCTGAAATTTAGTGAAGAGCACTGGCCAAGATACTGGCTGATGGAGGAGTTCCAATTAGGTAAGAGAAAGTGGCAGGCCCATTATCACAGTATTCTACACCTGAGACTAAGGAGGCTAACCAAAACCTTTCCTCAGAAGTTGGCAAATCCATCTTTTTCTAATATATAAAAGTCTCTGCGCGCGCTTGCGAGCGATTTGGCTCTCGAACGGTGAGGTACACATAGAAAAACATTTGCCAGCCAGCACGCCCTAAGCCCCGCGGTGGGAATAGGCTATTCCTTTTTCACGTACGTCACCTTTAAATTGGTTAAATTTGCGTTTTTTTGGAGATGTTTATTAAGTTATTTGTTTGGTGTATCTATTATTTATTTAATTCCCTTCGCCGCACACTGGCTCACAACGCAGGCTGTTGCACTTACACACAGCGCCCACTAGGTTACCCCCAGCAATCCACACGTGCCATCGCCCAAGGTAAGTTGCACACTTGTGTATTATATGCATGATAAGACGTAATTCCCACAAATTACTGCTATAAGCATTTATCTAATTATACACTTTGCACGGCTCACATGGGTTGCCCCTAGCAATGCACACACGATCGGCACACATTTTCATTCGCCTTACACATGCAGCAAACACACCAAACACGTTAATTCTTCACAGTGTGATGTCCTCTTCTCCCCACCGCACCCCAATGATACCCCAATGCGTCCTGAAACTACTATATAGCCCCTACATATTATTATAGCGCTTCCATGCCATTATTGTCGCGTGGCTGGGGGGAGCAGCCTAGCCCCCAGCCTGCCAAGGTCACACCTCGGCGGGCTGGGAAATATAGGCGAGGCCGGGGGCTCTGCACGGGACTAGGCCTCACCACGCCACTCTGCTTACTATTTTGTGCTATACATTCCATATATACTGCTATACAGTCAGCATGTACTACTGTAGTGCTAGCAGGTACCACCACAGCCACTATGCACTGCTGTGATCATAGCAGGTACCACCAGTCAGTATGCACTGCTGTATAGGCCTCGGCAAGGTAAGGTAAAGGGTAAAAATAACGAACCTACCTTTACCCTACCTTTTACCTTGCCACAATACGATCACTCAACCCTACCTTTTACCCTTCAGCAGGTAAGGTAAAAGGTTAAAAGCAACGAGCCTACCTTTACCCTTACCCCACATTTTACCCTCACCCCATACAAATTACCCGATTACAGGGTAATTACTGGGGTACTACACATGAAAAAGTTTTATAACAGGTAAATGTTAGGTAGACCGCTTTATTCACGTAGAATACTCTCGATGATTACAATTTTATACGCTTTCTTTTAACTCACTCTGTTGTCGTTGTTGTATCCTCAAATCTTGTAACTCAATTTTTACCCACTTCCCAATGTGGTATCGACTGCAAACTTGGAATACTTATGTCATACTGATGATAATACTATACTATATCATTACAAATAAAAAAAAGAAACATTTTTTTATATGTTATGTTTCGGCTTGAGTCTAATTGTCCACTGTCAACTGACGTTGGTTGTAATTGGCCACGGTCCCTTACGTTATGGCAAGCTTCAGGGCCACTTCCTGGAGTCGTGGAGTTCTGCCATTACTCGTATGGTAAATTTTATTAAAGCGTGTTTAAATATATATTACTTATTAAATGGAGGCCACGGACTGCGCCACGGAGCTTTTAGCGGTAAACAAGGTACCGTATTTACCGGGTAATACTTTGTGCTACCTTTACCCTACCGGGTAATTCTTCCGTGCTACCTTTACCCTACCCTTTACCTTACCCCTTGGCATGTCAACACCTTTACCCTTTTACCCGGTAAAAAGGGTAAATTACCTTACCTTGCCGAGGCCTACTGCTGTACTGATAGCAGGTACCACCACCATCGCTTGCCCTGCTGTAATTATAGCTGGTACCACCACAGTCAGTATGCACTGCTGTAGTGAAAGCAGCTACCAAAGTCCGTATGCACTGCAGTAGTTAAAGCAGGTACCACCACTGTATGCACTGCTGTAATCATTACAGCTACCATGACAGTCAATATGCACTGCTGTAATCATTGCAGGTACAAACACATTTAGTATGCACTGCTGTTGTTAAAGCATATGCCACCACAGTATACCCTGCTGTATTCATAGCAGGTACCACCCTAGTCAGTATGCACTGCTGTACTGATAGCAGATACCACCACAGTCGGTATGCACTGCTGTATTAATAGCAGGTACCACCACATTCAGTATGCACTGCTGTACTGAAAGCACGTACCACCACAGTCAGTATGCACTGCTCTGGTGATACCAGGTTCCACCACTGTCAGTATGCACTGCCTTTGTGATAACAGGTTACACCACAGTCATGAGGTACTGCCTTTGTGATAGCAGGAACCACCACATTCAGTATGCACTGCTGTAGAGAAAGCAGGTACCACCACAATCTAAGTGCACTACTTAGTGAAAGCAGGTACCACCACAGTATGCACTGCTGTAATCATAGCAGGTACTACCCCAGTCTGTATGCACTAAGCACAGCAAGTTGGCACAGTAGGGGAACAGGTGGTGCATCAGCCAGTCGTCTCAGTCAGTCGACTTGTGGCATCTGGGTCTGCCCCATAACCTCCTGCCAGCGGGCGTTCGACACTTCACGTGGCCTCAAGGTGCACATAGCCTGGCATAAGTGTTGTGGTGACGTCACCACCACTTAGTGCCGAATGGCGGTTGTTGTTGTTGAGTCTATGTATGTATGTGCGAGTCGACATGTGTGTGTAACTACATGTGTGTGTTTAAAGTCGATGTATGTGTGTGTGAGTCCATATTAGTGTGTGTGTGCGTGTAAGTCGATGTGTTTCTATGTGTGTGGGTCGATGTCTGTGTGTAAGTCCATGTGTGTGTCTGCCTTTTTCGCCCGGGCAACGCTGGGTACTGACCACTAGTTATGTATAAATGGATTAATTATTGATGAAGGGTTGTTGGGGACCAACTATTTACTGATCTCAACTATGCTGATGATGCAATTCCTTTTTACAGAGCAGCTAGCATCACGGCCCATGGCACTGAAAAGTTTTGAACAGGCTAATATTACTATGGGCCTTCATACTTCCTGGACGAAAGCTACACTTCAGATCGTGGGTTCTAGCTCTGCATCAAAAAGTTAATTCTGCAGATATGACCACAGGCCAACAATTGTTGATGATGATGTTGTTGATTATGTTGAGATTCATGTTCATGTTGAGTTGATGATGTTGCTAACAATGATATATCATTGTATCATGCATTATGCAACGTGTTAATATTTTATACAGATCTAATTCAGTGTAACACAAAATTATTTCCTGTAAGGTAAGTGTATACAGTAATACCTCTTTTAACGACTCCTCTGGGAACGAAGATCCTTTATAACGAAGTCGGATGTAGAGGGACCCTTCACCGCCCTATTTTTGCAAAAAGATAAATATATATCTTCTGAAATCATGCGAAGCAATTCAAAAGAGTAACATTTCAAACGCGCTCTGTGAACTCAACCGAGTGGGGTTTGATTACATTATCAGTAACCAATCAGCAAAGAGCATCGGCAGTCTCCCTCTTCGGCCCGCCACAGCTGGAGGTCCTCGTGTTCATAAAATTGCATCGGTTTTATTCAGTGATAAAAATGATTTTATTACCCCCAAATTATGTCATCCAAACGACCATCAAGCGCAAGGGTCGGTCACCTGCGACTCCCGAACCGCATGAGACTGTTTAGCTGCCCCCTGGCGGGCAGCCATTTGATGGGGATTTTTTTTAAATCTTAAACAATTTAACGCAAAGATAATTAACAATTTACTATATACGACAGGGAATGGGTCACTATAGACTGTCTTTGTGGCCTTACTGGGCAAAAAGTGCAACGTAAATCTCATCCATCTCTTTTTGAAACGAAAATGCAGATCATAAGGAAGGTAGAGGCAGGAGACATGACGTTGAAGTGGCACGTTCATTGGGGTTAACACAGTCCACCTTAAGATCATTTTAAACCAACCAGACAAAGTAAGTCCACCTTAAAGATAAATTTAAACCAACCAGACAAAGTCAAGGATTCTGTGCGGCCATGTTATCCTATTATTTATTTACCACATCATAGGAAAAAAGTACGTTTGTAGTTTATTTCTAAATGGGAGAATATCCGCAGTCAGGTGTAGTAGTTTTTCAGGCAGAGCGTTCCAAATCTCATGGACAAGGACCAAAAAAAAACCAAACTCCAGA